ATGGGGTGCTCAGGGCAGGAGACTGTAAGACCCAACGTCCGGCTGCGGAGCTCAGAGAGCACGAAGCGTTGAATCCATGTTTTGAGGGGGGGAGGGGGGGGGCGGGGGCAGCGGGGTGGGGAGGGGGCCTTCGAGGTTGATAGGCTTTCTCGAAAACCTAAACCCCAAACAGCCCTAAACCCTAAACACTAAACCCTAAACCCCAAACCCCAAACCCTAAACCCCAAACCCCAAACAACCCTAACCCTAAACCCCATCCTTGCGTGCTGCTTTTCCTTGCATTTCTCCGGGCATCAGGCGTTGCTGAGCCTCAACCATGCGGCAGCTTGGCATTGGGAAAGTGTTGACCTGACCCGTAGGGTTTTGGTTATGGGGATTCGGGGGTTCCTGAGGTTTTGAGGTTTTGGGGTTTTGGGGTTTGGGGTTGGGGGTTTGGGGTTGGGGGTTTGGGGGTTAGGGTTTAGGGTTTAGGGTTTGGGGTCTGTATAGGTCCTATCTTTGCCCAAAGCGTTCTTTCCTGTATCCTTGAGGATGTACCCTTGGGTTTCGGGACCCTTTGAAATAGCGCCTAAGACGCCACAATAGGGGCAATATTTGGAGTACATTCAGGGCAGCCTTTAGGGTACAAGCCTAAGGGTACGAGTTCACCGGCTTGAGAGTAGGGTTTAGGGTTCTATACATGGAGAGTTTTCACAAGGAGCCATGTAAAGACAAGATTAAAAAGCGTTCTGAGAATGCTCTCGTTGAACCCGGAAGTCTTAACTCATTTTAATGAGTTTCGGGTTTTGGGGGGGGGGGGGGGGGGGGGTTCAGATATCTGGGTATCTGGTTAGGCTTGTCGCGTTCCATACTTTGTGCACAGCGTTAGCTAGTTTATTACTATTTGCTTACCCCCCAAGAATATAAAGCGATAATCCCTATATGCCCTTATAGGGAAACATCGGGGTTCTTAAGGTATTAGTAGTATCGGCTTCGGGGTTTGAGCCCTCCCTAAACCCTAAACCAGATTCTGCATGCAAGCAATCACTGCCAGCTTCCTGCCGACCTTCCGAGCCCGCCCTCTGCATGCCCTGCAGCGCCAAGCCCATCCTAAGCGTTGGGATGTTCACTCAGCCCTAAACCCTAAACCCGCAACCCTCAACCCTCAACCCTAGGCCCTATACCCAATTCAAGTCCTAAAGCTTGCATGTTTGCTGGTGTAGGATCTTAGGCGTTTAGGGCTCCAGCGTTTAAACCTTGAAGTGGAGTTGGTGTGCCCATCCTGGAAGCAGGAAGCGAGAGCCTTTCGGGTTTAGGGTTTAGAGTTTAGGCTAGAATCCATCCAAAACAGCGAAAATGATGCCCTCAAAACCAATCCTGAATACGGACAGTACTGGACTTTGGCACAGACCCCGCCCTAAGCCCTAAACCCCAAACCCAAACCCTTGCTGCCCCAAAGTTCTGGGTCCCCTCTCACCTGAAATCTTGTGCTCTAAAATTTTGGGCTGCTGTACCATAGGGTTTACCTTAAGAACCCCAAACCTACCATTTTGTAGGTTGCCTAGGAGTGCCATAAGGCATTGTAATCACAACCTACCAAGAAATGGGTTTGGGGTTCTGAAGGCTGGGTGCAGGGATCACTTTAGCCCAAGCAAGATCCAAATAGCCATCAGCGATGTGTTGGTTGGCCATAGTCTGGTGGTGCAACCCCCCAGGCCTATACCCCAAACCCTATGCAAATCCAAGACCCTGAACCCAAACCCTACACCAACCCTCACCCTAAACCCCAAACCCTCAACCCTAAACCCGACACTGCAACCGAGGTGGGTAGGGTTTAGGGAGCGTAGCCCAGGGTCCATTATGGAATTTGGTACCCCAAAACCCTATTTAGTATGGTTTTTGGGTACCTAAGTCCATAATAGTACTGCAAATTCTGCGTAGGATCCCCTCAGATGAGATGGATGAACGCAGGCGAAGATCCAGCCAACCGTTGAACTGATGGTGCCCTGCTCAATACACCGGGTTTAGGGTTTTAGGGGTTTAGGGTTTAGGGGTTTAGGGTTTAGGGGTTTGGGGTTTAGGGTTTAGGGTTTGGGGTTTAGGGTTTAGGGTTTGGGGTTTAGGGCTTGGTACCCGTGACCCGACCCACCTATCGAGTGGCAGTAAGTGGGGTCGCCCTAGTGTTAGGGACCTTCCCTCACCACCCGAACTAGTACCATTTAGATTTTAGTTTATTCCTACCGCGCTTGAAGTTTAGGGTTTGGAGTTCAGGTGCCCGTATGAACCCCCCCATCTCGCTTAAAATTTCCAACATTAAGGTCATTTCAGGATTATTGGGCCCAAAGGCCTACGGGTAAAATGGAGAGATCAGGGTTTATCGCAAGGTTTCCTCCTTGTTTTTGTTGCGGTTTGCAGTTCTTGCCCCAAAGTGTCAAACGACGCTGCGCCGACGGGCTCGGCCCAATCCCCTGCCCCCGCCCTCCCCCACCCCCTCCTCCCCGGCTCCGGGGTTAGGGGTTTAGACCTTAGGGCTGACAGTCCTGTAGCCCCTTACTACCCCCCCACCCCCCTTAGAAGCCCTTAAGCCCCACCTAGCTACGGCAGTGAACACAAGCTACCTTTTTCTTGAACCTCCAACCTAGAGCCCCCCTAAACCCTGAACCCTGAACCCTAAACCCTAACCCCTAAACCCCTAAACCCCCAAACCCAACAAGCCTCAACCCGAAACCGCGATACCTTCTATACCTCAGTAGGGCCTCCAAGTAAAGCCTCTGACAAAGACCCAACACCGCCTCAATACGAATATATTCCTCTTTCTATACGGATCCTGAACATGATTCTAGGTACATTCCTTAATTAAGGGGTGTTGGCGTCTTGGGCTCTTAGGGCTAAAACCTATAAACCCTCTGCCCTACGGCACAAAGCTCAGACGGCCGCACCTGTCGGCCTCGCCGACCGCTGGGCCTTGCGGTGGCAGCGAGCCACACAGGCGCCGGCGGAGGCCAGGGGAAGGACGGAATAGGGTTTAGAAGTGGTTTCAACAACCTGAGGCATCACAGCAAAACCCTACTTCAACTGCTTCAAATGGCATCAATCAGGGTTTAGGGTTAGGGTCTACGATTTTTCAATCTCTGTATGGCCACCTACATGTGCAACTTCGCGGCGTCAACGTCATCAATCGCCCCACAATGCAAATGCCACCAGTGGGGCCCAAGCGTTGTCGAGGACCAGTGATGGAGACTGAACCGCTAACCTTTTGTATCACTTTCTCTCGGCCCTAAGCCCGAAAGCCGCAACCCTAAACTCTAAGATGTGACCTCTATTCCCTAGTCTTCGTTTAAGGTCCGGATCCCTTTCAAAGACTTCACTACACGTGTAGTCTCCTAGTCTTGTGAGGCAAGTGGCCTTCCTCCATTCTTGAAAAGTCAGGATGCCTTACAAGCCTACTTTAACCCCAAAAGGACCACCCCTTTGTTCTTCTCCAACCGTAGACACGAAGCTCTAAAACCGACTCTACACCCTGAAGCCCTGAAACCCTAAACCCTAAACCCTCATCCCCAAACCCTAAAGCCCTCGACTCGAAGTTTAAAGCCATGTTGTTTCCGGAGTTTGGGGTTCCTTCTTGGGTCCTTATTCTATGGCAATCCTACTGTTTGGGGGGCCCTACATTCCTCTGTGGTGCTTTACTGTAACTTTACATCTTTAGCCTTTTTGGGTTTATTGGGTTTCTTAATAAGGCAGCTAAAACCCTAAACCCTAAACCCTCCTAAGTGCAGCCAAGATTCGGGACCCCTTATGCTCGCAAAGCCCCAAATCCTGGGCGCAGGCGCCGAAGAAAGGGCGCCAACAGAAGAGAAGCAGGCCAGCTTGGGAGCCCTAAGCTGTTAGGGTTTAGGGTTTAGGGTTTACGGTTTAGGGTTTGGGGTTTGGGGTTTAGGGTTTAGGCTTTAGGGTTTAGGGTTTAGGGAACACTAAACCCGCTGGGGTTTTAGGGCTTTAGGGCTTCAAAGGATTCGGGCGGGCTTAAAGGGGTTTAATCAGGGTTTAAAGGTTTGAGACTTAGGATTTAGGGCGCAGCCCGAAGAATATTTCGCAAAGCCCAAACCCTAACCCTAAACCCTAAACCCTTTCGAAGCCAAAGCGCCCAACATCGTGTACACCCAAGCCATAAGCCGCAATGCCCAAAAAAGGGTCCCCAAAGAGCCCAACAACCCCTGAGTTGCGGACAATGTCTTAATTCATCTAGAGATCCTTACCTAGAGTCAAGGCATATTCCTTAATTCATCTAGAGATCCTTATCTTGAGTCAAGGCATATTCCTTAGTTCATCTAAGGATCCTCAACTTGATGTAAGGTAATCGGTATATTCCTTAATTCATCTAGAGATCCTGAACTAGATTTAAGGTGTATTCCTTAATTAAGGGGTCTGAGGCTTTTGGTCCAAGCAAGGAACCCATCTGCTTACACCTGCGGTGGAGAGCGATGGAGGATGGTGGAGGCCTTTTCGCGCAGAGATCGTGGAAAGGCGGCCTTCATTAAGCACCTGCAAGGAGTTGGTTGAGGATTTAGGGTTTAGGGTTTAGGGTTTAGGGTTTAGGTTCCTACGCACTCGACCCTGCTGGTGAAGGCGAGAATGGCTGAAGAGGTGCTCGTGGTGCAGGTCTGGTGCGAGCTGACGGCTAGAAGCATCGCCAACTACAAGAAGGCGTTCGACGCAAGCAGCTGGGGGGGGGGGGGGTATACCCTAATTAGAGCCCAATACCCCTTAAGTAAGGATTATACCTTAAATCATATTCAGGCCCCCTTTAAGGTTTAAGGTATATTCCTTGATTAAGGGGCATTGGGCTCTCTGGGTAGAGGATTGTTTTTAGAGATGCAAGGTGCTGGTGGCTTCAGGTCTCCCCAAAGCACGGACCTAAACTCGACTGTGCTTGGTTATGCCCTCTTTTCCCAGCTGTTGATGACTAGGTTCACTTTTCAACCCCATGTGTCGCAAAAGGCTTACCTTGCCATTCTTAGGCTACGAAGCCCTGACCCTCAACCCTGGCCAACCCTTTCAGAGCATGCAGAGGAAGCCCAATACCCCTTGGTGAAGGCATGCACCTTACACTGTATAGGAATCTTTACTATCCGTAAGGCTTAAGCCCTAGTTTCAACCGTTTTCCTAATACCCGCCCCTCTATACTACCTTTTCTAGGATTCCCCCTTAAACAACCTTAATTAGGCTTAATTCTCCCTAAATAGCCTTAAATAGAGGGGGGGTGGTAGGGGAATCCATGATAGTTAGAAGTATTGGGCGCTCTGGGTTTAGAGTGTTGCAGGTCTCGGTCCACTCGCAAGCGAAAGCGGCGGAAAGCCAGGCTTGGATCATTCAGCCTCGAGTTTAGGGTTTAGGGTTTATGGTTTTAGGATCTAGGGGCTACATGGGGTTCAGGGTTCAAGGTGTGGGGCCATTTGGGTGTTATGTCGTGGGGTTTTTTGGCGCCGAACAATAGGGGTCGCTCGCGCAAAAGTGGGCCTCCGTACTAAATTGGAAGAAACCTCAGGGCTTATACGGTGGGTTATAGTAGGATGTACGGTTGAAAGGAGTAGGGTTGAGGCTTTACTGCCCCTAAGCAGACAAGCCTCACGCCAAACCCCCCAAAAGTCCCTGAACGCCCCCCCTGGATCCTCTCCACCCCTCAACACTGTTTGGACACACCCCCCCCCCCCAAAAAAAAAAAAAAAATCAAAAAACAAAAAAAAAAAAATATATATATATATATATCATACTAATCATCATCACAATAATAATAGAATCTACCGCGAGGTTTGATGCCCCACAAGGACACGGAACCCGAAACCCCAAACCCCAAACCCCATCAACCCCACGCCCCTGAAATCCGTTCCGCAGGTCTCCTTCAAGCAGCGAGGCAGGGGCATGATCGCTTCTTTTGGGAATGGGCGGGGTCGGGGGGTGGTGGTTGTTTAGGGTTTGGCCCTACGGGTTCAGTTGCGGTGGTGGTTTTGCATCGTAATGTACGGTGTTTGGCGTTTTAAAGTGTCGGTTTCAAACGCACTGTTAACATACAGGCAGTGGCAAGAGCATGCTTGAAGGCTGAAACCCTAGAATCCCCTTCTACAATGTTTTTGCCCGCCCCGCCCCACCCGCACCACCACAACAAGAGAGAGTCAGACAGTGAAGCCAAGGATTAAAAGAGGCCAAAACGCAGCAATCGGGACGAGAGGAGGCAAGGATGCAGGAGAATGTCGATTTCTCACTCAGGAAGGGATTTTCAAGCTGCAGACACATTCGGGCCCGAAAAATTTTGCAAAATCGCGCGCACGATTACGCAGGAAAAACGCACCGTTTCGGAATGGATGCACGGCAGGACATAAAACTCTCAGCCTCTCGCGCAGGACAGCGTTTTCCAAGCAAGCATGTTAGCCCGAGAAGCAGAACAGCAGCGCAAAGAAGCAAAAACACTGGAGACAAACACCTCCGCAAGTGAACCTGTAAGGGGTTTTGGGGTTTAGTGTTAAAAGAACTTTCTTGCCAGACTTGACATAGAAGGACACCACATCTGCGACTACAAGCAAAGTGCAGCGCGTGCAGTGCTGTGGTTTGATGTTGCAGGTCTCTTACTTTGCGCGAGGGCGGCTGCTTGAACGGTTTAGGGTCTGAATGTTAAATTTCAAACCTTAGGGCTTGGGGCTTATATGTAGCGTCGCGATTGGAAACCTGAACCCCAAACCCCAAACCCGAAAGCTTGTTTTTTGGAGCTGGAGGAGTGGTAGCCCCTCTTTGGGGCTTGGTTTCTTGGGGGGTAGGCTTTAGGATTTAGGATTTAAGGTCATCATGTTCCTAAGACCCTCAGCCCTGAGTAGGTTCATGTGGAACTCCTAAACCCATAAACCCCTACACCCTACACATTCGCACCTGAATCCCCTGAAACCTAAACTCCTCAACCCCTAAACTCCTACCCTAAACCCCTAAACTCCTACACTCCTAAACCCCTAAACCCCTAATCCTAAACCCTAAACCCTAAACCCTAAACCCTTTTAACCCCTAATCCTAAACCCTAAGCCCTCAGCCCCCACAGCTTTTGGATTGTCCAGGCCAAAGGCAAGGCGGAAGAGTCCGACTCCTCAGAGCAGCGAATCCTGGCAGGGGATAGCTTCGGTGATGAGTTATTCTTACTATTATGACTATTATTATTATTATTAGTAGTAGTAGTAGTAGTAATAGTAGTAGTATTATTGTCAGTATTCTTGTTATTATTGTAGTCATGATTATTTTTTCTTGTTATTCTTTGTATTAATTTTGTGATTATCATTGTTATGGTTGTATTCTGGTTTAGGGCTTGGGGTGTAGGATTACAACCCTAAACTACCTGGCGACAGCCTCAAGTTCCCTGAGTACCCTAAACTTTAAAACCCTAAACTCTTTGAGTTTACAATAACTGAACAACCCACAACCTGTTGCGATCATACAGCCCCTGAAATGCTTTGGCAGCCGACGAAAGAGTGGGGTTTAGGGTTTAGCGCTTAGGGTTCAGGGTTAATTGCTGTCGGATCCACGTGCACGGCAAGGGGGGGGGGAACTACGAGCCAACACCAAGGGTTGGCTTCTCTGAGGGTTCATTGAAGTCTTGGGGGTTAGGCAACCCCCAACCCCTAAGCCTCATAAACCCCTAACCCCCTCATTGCAATCCAAACCCTATAAACCCCGAACCCTAGAAAACCCTGACAACCCCTAAATCCCTGAACCCTACAAACTCCAAAATCGACCCTAAACCCCTCTTTCACATCTGCATGAACACCCTTCACGATCAGGTGGCATTTGTCCAAGCTTCGTCCTAAATTTCGAGGGCTTTTGTCCAAAAACTGTCAACATTTGTCGCAACAGATTCGTGAGAATCTGTTCGGATTTCGTGGGCATTGCTCATGTTGGACTGTGTTTAGGGCAGCAAAGTCTGAAAGAAGACGCTCGTTTTGCCGATTGATCCGTCCGAAGATAGGTGGGATTTAAGCTAGCTTATGTAACATAGAACATGTTCCTATCGTTGTGGGGCCCGGGCGGGTGGGTATGTCTAGGTCTGCTTGACAAGCTGCTTGACTAGTGAATGTTAGACTGGAAACGCTCTAAAGCCAACAAACCCGAAGCAAGGACAGAAAATCAAGCGCAAGAAGCGCCCGGAGCCCGAGTGTCCTTGAGTCAGGGTGCGGGACCGAAGGCTTGCTGGGGTTTAGGATTTAGGTTTAGGGTTTAGGGTTTAGGGTTTAGGGTTTAGGGTACAAGCGCTCCAAGCCCTGAAGCTTACACTCCAAGCCCTCAGCCCTACACCCTAAGCCCCATGCACGCCCCAACCCTGGCAACCCAGCCCCACGAAAGCAGCCAGAGACTCTTTGAACCTTGCAGGAAGAAGCCCAGCAGTTGTGGAGCCCTAAGCCCTAAACGCCATAAAAGGCTTAGGGGGGTTTAATTAGGGGTTGTGGGTTTAGGGTTCTAAACTCCACGGCCAAAACCCTAAAATCCGAACCCTAAACCCTGAACCCTACACCCGCGACCCTAAACCCTAAACCCAGGGTTTAGGATTGAAGGGCTTAGGGTTTCGGATTGAAGGGTTCAGGGTTACGGGTTTGGGGTCCAAACCCAAAACCCCATTGTAAACCCGACATGCTACATGCAAACCCAACCCTAACTGGGTAGGGTCTAGGGTTTAGGGTACAGGCTTAGAGTTACAACGGGGTGGAGAACTCCTCCTCGTCAAGGGCCTACACTCATGCCCCAGCTTCAAAGCCAAAGGGTAGGGGGCTGTTCAGTCAGTCTAGGGTTTAGGGTTTAAGGTTTAGGGTCTATAGGGTTTAGGGTTTAGGGTTCAGGGTGTAGGGCTGGCCTACATCTAAACCCTGAACCCCAATATAAACCCTAAACCCCAAAGCGCCCATGATTGCCTGTAGGCCAAGGGCACGCTATCAGGTGCCCATGCTCTGAATCTTAGATATCGCCCGAAACTTTAAACCCTAAACCCCAAACCCCAAACCCCAAACCCCAAACCCCAAACCCTAAACCCTAAACCCTAAACCCTAAACCCTCACGTCGCGTTGGGCATCTTGGGAGCTTTGAGGCTGTGTGGAGCTTGCGGATGGGGATGTCGTGGAAGATCACCGCGAAGATCGCCTGCTTGAGGCATCGCCGGAACCTAAACCCGGAATATTGAGAGAGGGTTAGGGTTTAGGGTTTAGGGTTTAGGGTTTAGGGTTGAGGGTTGAGGGTTGAGGGTTGAGGGTTGAGGGTTGAGGGTTGAGGGTTGAGGGTTGAGGGTTTAGGGTTTAGGGTTTAGGGTTTAGGGTTTAGGGTAGGGTTGGGATGTTCCCCCTTATACTAACAGTCCTTAACAGGATTATAATATTGAAGGCATAGGCTTTGACACATGATGTGGGACCCTAGACCTTACCCTAAACTCTACGCCCCTAGTTACAGGCATATTGCCATTCAAGGCGGATTGGGCTTTATGGTCGCTTCTCAAAGTTCTGAGCCCTGTTTGGATACCCTGAATAATCGGGGCCGCCTTAAATCAGGACCAAGAAGGGCCAAACTTTGGAGAAGTGACCATAGTTGGAGTGTGGTCTTCGGGGGGGGGGGGGGGCTTCTGGCAGATGAGAGATAGGGGAGTCCCCTCCTTTATATCTGCCCGAGATTTGCTTCCCCCCTGCTCTCCTTCTCGGCAGACATCGCCATGATGGGTTCAGGGCTTGTAACCCTAACCCTAAACCCTAAGCCCTAACCTTTATGGGTCTAGGGTTTATGGCCCTAACTCCATCGACCACCTCCCACTGCGAAAAGGCCAGAATCCTGTTTTTGGAGTGCTGTGTTCCTGGTCAGGGCTGTTTAGAGTCTAGGGCACTGATGAGTAGGGTTTGGGGTTTAGGGTTTAGGGTTTAGGATTCAGGGTCTACTGTAGTGTTTTAGGACTTTAGGATTTAGGCCTTAGGTGTTGCGGTTATTCTGCGGTTTGGCGGCCTCTTGTTGGTGATTGTTTTGGGGCCAAAAACCTCACTGTCTCGAGCATCTGGGCTAGTATTTCGGGTTTCGGGCACAACATCCGGTCTTTTTGGAGGAGTTGCTGAAGCAGAAGCCTGTCTGAACCTGAACCCCACCCTAAACCCTAAACCCTAAACCACAGGCAAACCCTGAACAAATCTTCAATCTAGGCAACCTTTCAACTTAAGCCCCAAGCAGAGCCTGAACTCTGCTGAGCCTCAAGGCCCCCCCCCCCCCCCTCCCCAATCCCTAATCCCTAAACCCTAAACCCTAAACCCTAAACCCTAAACCCTAAACCCTAAACCCTGAACCCTGAACCCTGAACCCTGAACCCTGAACCCTGAACCCTGAACCCTGAACCCTCCTCCCCCCCATCCCATGACCAGGCCAAGAAGCAGGTTGGCGAGGTTCTTCGGGGTTTTGGGGCTTAGGCGCTTTGGTCATGGGTCAGACCGAACATGTTCAGTAACTGGGAGGTTCATGGTACTTGTTCAGGGTTTAGAGTTTAGGGTTTAGGGTTTAGGGGGTTATTTGGAGGTTCATGGTTCTGATCAACCAATTATGACTGTACTTATAACCCACTTATGCGCCCCTTGAGTGCCCGAATATGGTGATAAGTACAGTTGTAAGTACAACAATAATTCGTGAATAAGTACCATGAACCGCCAAGTGCCTAACCAAGTGCCTTTTGCAGGGTTCAGCGTAGAGGGCTCAGCACAGTTTGGCATTCAGAGTTGCCCGAGAACTGAAGCAGTTGTTGCTGTTTTTTAGAGCCCCTTATGTTGCGGTCCAAGTAGCTTTTTGTTGCATACCTACATGGGCTCTTATGCCCTGTAACCCTTTAAAACGGCCCTTCATAGGGTTGGTTCGGGGGATTATAAGGCCAATAGCCCATGTATTGGACGTCCTCTTGGTGGCAACCCCACCCGCATGTGGTTACATGGATCCGTTTGGGGAGAGAAAGAGAGAGGGGAAAAGAATACAAGTAGAACAGACAGAGAGGGAAAAAAACTGAAAGAAAAGACAACATACAAGAAAGAAGTGAAAAGGAGGTGGTTTGCTGTCGAGTTGGCAACTGTCAACCTACTGGAGTATAGCCAAAGTACGCCCAAAACCCGAGACCCTGAAGGTTGAGTTTCATTTGAGAGCATTGTAGAGTTTCGACTCGGGTTTCGGGTTTTGAGTTTAGGGTTTCTTCGGGGCTCAGAGCACCTTCCTTTAGAACCCCTCCTCATACACATATATCTATATATGTATTTATATTGATAGTTTTATATACACTACCCCAAACCCCTGAAACATCCTAAGCCCTGAGCAGCCACAGCCACTAGGATATCCCTCGCCCGATAGGCGGAGGAGATGAACGAGTCGCAGAGGACGCAGTGAATTCCAAGCGTTTGCACTTCCGTTTCCCGCACACCGTAAGCCCGAAACCCTAAGCCCTAAACCCGAATCATGGCACCGTTTGAGGGCATATCCTGACATTTTGATTTCAACGTTAAACCCTAAAGGCACTGTTTGAGGGCATATCCTGACATTTAGAAGCGCCAAGGGAACCCAAATTCGACAACTTGCCAGGCAAAAGCTCTCTCAAAGCCAGACTGGACCTATAAACCTCAGGAATCCCTATAGACCCCTATAACGCCTGCTCTATTCGCCTATAAACCCCATAAACCCTGTAAACCATGGCAGGCCTTGTTTTTTGGAAAGCTCGGGGGGAAGTTAGTACACATCTCTGGGATACCAGGGTTAGGGTTTAGGGTTTAGGGTTTAGGGTTTAGGGTTTAGGGTTTAGGGTTTAGGGTTTGGGGTTTGGGGTTTGGGGTTTGGGGGTTTAGGGTTCAGGCCGACGACCCAAACTCGAACCACAAAAGCAGACCACATGTGCCCAGTGGAAACCTTGGCCCTGCGTACTGTGGCGTCATGTCCATTGCGATTGAGGTGAGCCTGCTAAGTGGCCGGTCGGTTTCACTGGAAGCCAGAGCGGATGAGGCCGTAGAATCGTTGAGGAGCAGAGCGCAAAAGGCTCTCACAGCCGGCCGAGGCACTCTCTGGGACTCCTCCGGACGAGTTCTGGATGGGGGAGCTACGCTTGAGCAATCTGGGCTGCAGACCGGCGATGCACTGACATTGAAAATTGGCAGTGTCCACATCTACAGCAACGAGAATGCATTTGCTGCCGTTCTGGGCGACGGGTCTGTTGTGACATGGGGCAACTCTTTCTTCGGTGGTGACAGCAGTTGTGTGAAGCACAAGCTGCAGAATGTACAGCAGATCCAAGCTACTGGATTTGCTTTTGCCGCTATTCTGGGTGATGGGTCCGTGGTGACCTGGGGCGATGCTGATTTTGGTGGTGACCCCGGACATGTTCGTGATCAGCTGAGGGACGTGCAGCAGATTCAAGGTACCCGCAAGGCGTTTGCTGCCGTTCTGAGTAACGGGTCTGTTGTGACATGGGGCCGTCCTGGCTTTGGTGGTGACAGCCGACTGGTTCAACATCAGCTCAAGGGCGTGCAGAAAGTTCACGCTACCAGCACCGACGGTCTCTTCGGCGGTGCTTTTGCTGCCACTCTGGGGGATGGATCCGTGGCGACCTGGGGCCTTCCTGGCAGCGGTGGCGACAGCAGTGCTGTGCAAAGTCAGCTGAAGGATGTGCAGCAGATCCAGGCTACCGGTGCCGCATTTGCTGCTATTTTGGCCGATGGGTCTGTGGTGAGCTGGGGCGATGCTGGCTATGGTGGCGACAGCAGCGCTGTGCAAGCTCGGCTGAAGGATGTGCAGCAGATCCAAGCAAGTAGCAAAGCTTTTGCTGCCATAGTGGGCGATGGGTCTGTTGTGACCTGGGGCGATGCTGGCTATGGTGGCGACAGCAGCCCTGTGCAAGGTCAGCTGAAGGATGTGCAGCACGTCCAAGCTACTAGCAATGCTTTTGCTGCCATTCTGGGCGATGGGTCTGTCGTCACCTGGGGCCAAGCTAGCGGCGGTGGCAACAGCCGTGCTGTTCAATCTCAGCTGAAGGATGTGCAGCAGCTACAAAATACCGGTGAGTCTTTTGCTGCAATTCTGGGTGATGGGTCTGTCGTGACCTGGCGCCGTGCTGACGTTGGTGGCGATAGCAGGGACGTGCAACATCGGCTGAAAGGCGTGGATCGGATCCAAGCTACTGCCACGGCATTTGCAGCTGTCCTAGGCGATGGGTCTGTTGTCACCTGGGGACATGCTGATTGCGGTGGCGACAGCAGTAGTGTGCAGCATCAGCTGATGAGCTCCTCGTAGGAGGCAGCCCTTGGCGGACATGCCCTAGGTGATGTGCTGAGTGTAGGGGTCGGAAGAATTTGCGAATCATTTCCCCTATGGTCCCTCCATAGCTATGCTACAATAACTCCCAAAACCCGATTCTAGTTATTATCTAGGCCCCTATATTAGCACGTTGGCAGCAGCATTCTTTGCGGCCCCTTGCGGCTCGGAGGTCAAATGCCGCCCCACCACTACAGGGAATGGCGCTCACTCTTCAGGGGTGAGGGTTTAGGGCTTAGGGTTTAGGGGGTTTAGGGGGTTTAAGGGGGTTTAGGGGGCTTAGGGGGTTTAGTGGGTGTAGGGGGTTTAGGCTTTTCGGGTCTGGAAGCTTGCATGCTTCAGGCTGGCGGGGAATCTAATGGCACGGCAGCGCCTGCAACATGAGTGTCTTACCCTAAACCCTAAACCCTAAACCCTAGGTTCAACAGTCGAACGACCATGAGAACTGGCAGAGGCCTGCCAAAGCCTTGTGAACGTTTCGTGAAAGGCACCCAATAACAGCAAAACCGGTGGATCCATTGGGGGGGGGGGAGGGGTCAGCATACATAAGTAAAAGAATATATCTAGATATGTAAGGCATACATCACTAAGTAAAAAACTATATCTAGATATGTAAGGCGGTATTTGTATGAACTCTTCTCTCTCTCTCTCTCTCCTCTCTCCTCTCTCCTCTCTCCTCTCTCTCTCTATCTCTCCTCAAGCCCTTTTAAAGAGTTTAAGCCTTGATTCTATACCTCACCTCGTGCTTTTTTTGCAAAGCCCTAAGCCGCTTGTATATCCTGGTGCCCCGAAACCCTAAACCCCCCTCAAACCCTATGTCAACCCTATAGTCGACGAAAAAAGAACAACAACACCCCAGAACCCGAAAGCCCCAAAAACCCTAAACCCTAAACCCCGAAAACCCTTCAATCTAAACACATCAATCACATCAAGCTCAATGCCGCGTTCCTGCGACCAAGTTCCCCTAAATTCTACGGTCTCGGTAGGCCCTTTTGGGACATTTTGTATGTTCTCTGATTATTGGGTTTGAGAGGATCATATTCAGGAATATGTTTTCTTAGAGAGTTTAAGGGCCATCCTACGTTCTACGTAGTTTAGAGTTCAGGCTTTCGGGTTTAAAAAAAGACGCCAAACTCCCAGCCCCTTAGCCAGGACTGCCTTGCAGGCCGCACTCAGTCGCACCTGCACGGTCGCACCCCAACACTGAGGGGCGGGGGGGGGGGGGGGGGGGTCTTTGTAGGGGGCGGGGGGGGGGGGGGGTGGGGTTCTTTGTAGGGTTTAGGGTTTAGGGTTTGGGGTCTTTGGGGCTTGTAGTGTTAAGGGTCCAAGGGCTACCAACTTAAGAGGCGTACTGTAGGGGCTTTGGGGTGGGGTTCGGGGTCTGGGTGTTTGGGATGTTTAGTAGGGTGTACGGATGCCTTGTACCAGTCTGCGATACTCCCGCTGGGTCCATGCAATTATATAGTACATACGCTTGGCCCTTAAGGGGTCCCCATATAGTAGTTTTAGGGCCCAAGTGTATACTACATAGGTATATGGGACCCTTACGATAAGCAAGCCAAAGGAAAGTCTTTCCACGTTGTGCGTCCTTCTACATCGGATGGCGCATGATTGCCCTGGGGTCCTACAGCTAAGCAGTGCGGGGAGCCTCGACAAGATAAGGATTTAGGGTTTAGGGTTTAGGGTTTAGGGTTTAGGGTTTAGGGTTTAGGGTTTAGGGTTTAGGGTTGCGGCAGCCTCAAAGAGGTTCGCAGGAGGCACCAACCCACCCGACTAACCCTACTTAAGCCAAAAAGGGCTCCAAGTGGTGCCTTCACTCACTACTATGTGTTCAAGAACACCTCAAAAAAGGGCAATATAGGGATTCTGTTTTTTGGCGGGTTCTTAAGCAAATAGTAGCTCAGGTCATACAGGGCCCACCAGGCACCGGGAAGACCAGCGACGCGGCTGATGTGGGTTTCGGGGAGGAGGGCTTTCGGGTTCAGGGTCATGATACCTAAACCCTAAACCCTAAACCTTAAGCCCTAAACCCTAAACCCTAAGCCCGAAACCCTGTAAGCCTTAAACCCTCATTCAAACCCTCTAGAACCGTGGAATGGCCGCGATGGACCACGCCTCAGTGGCAACCTCCATCCTTTTATCCCTAAGCCCTTCTCCGGGATCTAGTGAGGCCATTTTGGAGTCCCCTATTTTCCTAAACCCCCCCAATTTGCTCGACCCAAACCTGGAGATACAGTTCCCACATTCGAGGATCCATACACAGACAGAGCTTGGGATGAGGACCCATACTACAACACAAGCGCGTCTCTATATCAACCCGATAAACCCTAGTAGACTGAAACGGACCCACATCTCTAAGGGTAGTTACATGGTCCCTGAATATTGTCCCGGGTTCTACAGGGGCCTGTAGGGCCCATATTGAGGGACCATGAAACTACCCTTAGAACATCCAGCGAACTGTAAGCCAGGTCGTGTTAGAGTGCAGGGATTAGGGCTCAGGGCTTAGAATTATGCAGGGCGGCCAGGGAGTTGTGCAGCAGACAGCTGGTTCGGGATATCGGATCCACAACAAGAGGCTCGACGAGACGCCAGCCACAATGGGTGACCTCAGAAGGGCCCTTGGATCAACGGAGGATCTCTGGTGTTGCATGGCCGAGCCATGATGGCCGCCACCTCTCCGGCCATGCCATGGGGGGGGGCATGTGCCAGGGCTGCTGGTGCTTGGTGGCACCTTGTCCCTGGACATGGTGCTGTTGTGTGCTCCAAGACCATCCATGAAGGTTCCTGGTCTTGTGACGCACATGTGATGGCACTCTGGCGTGGGGATTTCCTCCAAGCTACTTACATATACGAAAGTTCAACGAAGGTCAGGGTTTAGGATAGTTGAAGGTTTAGGGTTTAGGGTTTAGGGTTTAGGGTTTAGGGTTTAGGGTTTGGGATTAGGGTGTATTAGATTCAGGGTGTACAGTAGGTAGGGTGCAGGGCTTAGGGCGTTTAGGATCAAGACTTACAGGGCTTTGGTTCTTTTTGGGTGTTTTGGGTGTCCCTGCGCTCCCCGTGTCTTCGCTCCTTCGCTTAGGTGTCTCGGTTCAAATTCTGCACTTCTGGACAAAGGCTCCGCGTGCACATGCACATGCACATCTGCCACAAGGGAATCATGCTTTCGGCTTTGGGTAGTTTATGGAGTTTAGGGCCAAAGTTTAGGGTTCGGGTTTTCCCTAAATACTAAGTACAAACCCTAAACCCGACAAACTTGAAACTAAACCGCAACACCCGTCTTCCTGAAATCAGTTTAGAGCCCCTGCTGCGATTCCTACAGGCCTCGACTCACTGGGCCCTATGCCCTAAACCCGAAACGCACACCGTCCTAAACCCAAACCCCAAACCCCAAACCCTAAGCCCGAAACCCTAAACCCCAAACCCTGCGGTCCAGAGGCACGAGGAAGTCAACAGAGTGCTCTGTGCAGTCCATAGAGGGCTCCTCAGGGTCGGGTGGGGTGGGGTTGGGGAAAGTGACTTGGGGTTTGAAGAGGGCCCAGAGGAGTTCACAAAGCTCCTGAATGGTTTAGGGTTTAGGGTTTAGGGTTTAGGGTTGAGGGTTGAGGGTTGAGGGTTTAGGGTGGCTTTGCCTGTCATGTGCATGCAGATTCTGGGAATGACCCCTGTCATGGCAACCTCGGACAGCAACGTGCGGCGCCCCAGGTCCTGACAGTCTCGGTTGATGTCTTCAGATACGGGGTTTAGGGTTTAGGGTTTAGGGTTAGGGTTTAGGGTTTAGCGGGGGGGGGGGGGGGGGGTCTAGGGTTGAGTCTCAATGGGGTACTTTTTGTGGGGGACTTCTTGTCAGACGAGGTTTGACTATGACATGCATCCTTGTGAGGGAAGCCTCGTACAGAAAACAGCTAGTTGAAAATCGCCCTAAGCGTATAAGACCGCCCAAACAAGATTTTCACTAGGGTGTATTGTAATACCTGGGACCCAGATTACCCCTCAACCCTAAACCCTAAACCCTAAACCCTAAACCCTAAACCATTCAGGAGCTTTTGTGACAGAACTAGTAGGCCGAGTGCGCGTCTCGTGATGAGGGCAGTTTGGGGTTCGGGTTTGGCCCATGCAAATCTTAAGGTTTCGGGTTTTGGTTTACCTGCTCCTCCCCCCGCCCCCCCCCCCCCCCCCCCCCCCCCCCCCCCCCCACCCCCCCCCCACCCCCCCCCCCTCCCCCCCCAACTACCTTTAACAAAGGGGGCATATATACCCCGAAACCCTAAACCTAAACCCTAAACCCTAAACCCTAAACCCTAAACCCTATGCATCAAGGGCAGTTGGGGGGGTGCTGGGCTTGAAGTCTGAGGTGGCCGTGGACAACATCTGCGAGGGCCTGCGGAATCGGGGCGTCAAGGCCAGGCTGCCCCTGAACCCTAAACCCTAAACCCTAAACCCTAAACCCTAAACCCTAAACCCTAAACCCTAAACCCTAAACCCTAAACCGCAGCTTTACCTGGTTTAGGACATAGGGCTTTTAGGGTAGCTCGCAGATTCAGCTTACCGGCCCAAAGCATCGCCACAATTGGCTGCTCAGTGCTTAGGGTTTAGGGGAGGCAGGGCGGTTTTCAGGCATTTGAGGATTTATGTAGGGTTTAGTATTTCGGGTTTAGGGTTTAGGGTTTAGGGTTTAGGTGGTTTAGGGGTTTAAAGGGTTTGGGTTGTAATTAGAGGGTTGAGCGGGTGTTGGGTCTGGCTTTGGTTTTGGGGCTTGGGGTTTCGCGTATCATGTCGCTCACGATCACGGTGAGCCTGCTAAGCGGCAGGTCCGTGTCAGTGGCAGCAGGACCGGATGAGTGTGTAGACGCCTTGAAAAGCAGAGCACAGAAGGCTCTGGCAGTCGGCAGTGGACGACTCTTGGACTCCTCCGGAGGCGTTCTGGACGGAGCAGCCACACTTGAGGCATCTGGGCTGCAGAGTGGCGATGTGCTAACCTGGCAGGTGGGTGGGGTCCAGGTTTGTGCCAACGCCTATGCTTTTGCTACCATCCTGGGCGATGGGTCGGTGGTGACCTGGGGTGATGTCCGCCTTGGCGGCAATAGCAGTGATGTTGAGGGGCAACTCAGGCATGTCCAGCAGATGTAAGCTTGTGAATGTGCGTTTGCAGCGATGCTGGGCGATGGGTCTGTTGTGGCCTGGGGCCGAAGCAGAATTAGTGACATGAGTGCTATTGAAGGTCAGCTGAAGGACGCTCAGCAGATCCAAGCTAGCAGTAGGGTGTTTGCTGCCATTCTGGGCGATGGGTCTGTTGTGACCTGGGGCGATTCTGTTGTGGTGGTGACAGCAGCTCTGTTCAGCATCAGCTCAAGGATGTACAGCGGATCCAAGCCACCACCAGGTCCTTTGCTGCGAGTCTGGGCGATGGGTCTGTTGTGACCTGGGGCGATTCTGGTTGTGGTGGTGACAGCAGCTCTGTTCAGCATCAGGCGACCGCCGGGGCTTTTGCTGCCATACTGAGCGATGGGTCTGTTGTGACCTGGGGACTTGCTGAGTACGGTGGCGACAGCAGCCCTTGCAAGGTCAGCTGAAGGACACGCAGCACATCCAAGCATCCGACGGTGCCTTTGCGGCCATTCTGGGCGATGGGTCTGTTGTCACCTGGGGCCATGCCCTCCATGGTGGCGACAGCACTGATGTGCAACATCAGCTAAAGGATGTGCAGCAGATCCAAGTCACCAAACATTCTTGGAAAGGTGCTGCGTTTGCTGAACCCTAAAGCCTAAACCCTAAACCCTAAACCCTAAGCCCTAAACCCTAAACCCTAAAACCCTAAACCCTAAACCCGCCATCTGGGCAACGGGTCCGTTGTGACCTGGGGCGTTGCTTGCCGGGGTGGTGACAGCAGAAGTGTGCAAGGTCAGCTCAAGGACATACAGCAGATCCAGGCTACCAATTTAGGGTTTAGGGTTTAGGGTTTAAGGTTTAGGGTTTAGGGTTTAGGTGCTTTTGCTGCCATCCTGGGCGATGGGTCGGTTGTGACCTGGGGCGATTTTGATTCTGATGGCGACAGCAGTGCGGTGCAAGGCATGTTGAAGGACGTGCGGCATATCCAGTCCACCACCAGGGCTTTTGCTGCCATTCTGGGTGATGGGTCAGTTGTGACCTGGGGCGGGTCTCGTGCGGGTGGCGACAGTAGAACAAGATCAGCAAAAGGGCGTGCAGCAGACCCAGGCAACCAAGCATAAAGTTGACGGCAGCGGTGCTTTTGCTGCGATTCTGTGTGATGGGTCTGTCGTGACCTGGGGCCATGATCGCCATGGAGGTGACAGCCATGCTGTACAAGAACAGCTACTGAGCACGTAGCGACGCAACAGATGCTGCCCGTCAAGGCCACCGACAATCTCTGAGAAAAAAAATCATGCTCCAAAAGCTCCACTCAATGGGCCCAGGAACAGTCAAGATTACGGATGCAAACTTTTGTTCCCCAACATCCGAAACGGGACTGAACAACAGGGCCCAAAACCTGCGCAGAGACCCCTCCAACCCTGCCCCCCAGAAACCCGAAACCCCAAACCCCAAACCCTAAACCCTAAACCCTAAACCCTCTCCAGCCCAAACCCGGAGAAGCCGGAACAGGGCGTGCTTGCAAAAGCGACAGGGAGGGGGGGGGGGGGGGGGGGGGACGGGGGGGGCACTTGAAGCCATAGGCATCCTGGGATGTGGAACAAGTTTGCCTCTGTTTTTGGTTTTTGGGGAAAGGGCTTCATTTTGGGGCTTAAGCATTCTAGGAAGCCCACTGGCGCCCTTCTGACCTCTTTCGATTTCTGGGTTCCAAACCCCAAACCCCAAACCCCAAACCCTAAACCCTAAGTCCTAAACCAACGGTGCCCTTGCTATCACGTGGCTGAAAGGGTCCGAGAACCCTAAGACCCTCGAGCCGGTTTAGTGTTTAGCGCTGGGGTTTAGGGTTTCGACTTTAGGATTTAGGGTTTAGGGTTTGGGGTTTGGGGTTTGGGGTTTGGGGTTTGGGGTTTGGGGTTTGGGGTTTGGGGTTTGGGGTTTGGGGTTTGGGGTTTAGGGTGACCCTAGACCCTTCGCTCAATTTTTTAATTTTCGGGGACTGCCAGAACGTTTCGGTAAAGAAGGTTTAGGGTTTAGGGACTTTTTTCTAGTAAGTGAGACTCTAGTAAGATAAAAGTCGTAGTGATTGTGGGGTTGAAGCTGGCAGGGATGGGTTTGAGGGCTCATGAAGTTGCAACCCTAAACCCTAAACCCTGAACCCTTAACCCTTAGCCTAAACCCTAAACCCTAAAACCTAAACCCTAAACCCTAAACCCTAAACCCTAAACCCTAAACCCTAACCCTAAAGCCGCCCAAGCCGTAAAGGATTTCGGATCCCAGGAACAGTTCAGGGAATTGACCTATGCCTGTCAAGAGGGAGTTCTTGCGAACCTGCGACCTTTCTGGCAAGACCCATAGACCCTACAAACCTGAACTCGAAACCCTACATCCAAGTTAGTATGGCTAAACCCTGAACCAAAAACCCTAAACCCAAATCCTAAACCCTAATCCCAAACCCTAAACCCTAAACTATGCCTGACACTCCCTCAGACACCAGGCTGTTCGCGTGGGCCGGCCCGAGAAGGTTCGCAGCGTCATCGAAGACATGACGCTGGAGGCTAGCGCACTTCTGGGGGGGGGGGGGGGGGTTGAAGCTGACTGGGTTGGGGTTTAGGGTTTAGGCTCAGAGTTTTAGATTCTAGGACTGATGATGAGGTTCTGAGTTTAGGATAGAGCGAACCGGCCACGTAAGGCGCTGTTCATGCCGACGCCCCATTGTGAAGACTGAGGCAATACGGTCCAGTATTCACAACATGGGTTTAGGGTTTATAGAGTTTAAGCAGGGTTTACGCTTCTTGAGAGCCGACAGCGTGTCTTCATCAACCACGGAAACTCAACCCTAAACCACAAACCCTGAACCCTGAACTCTAAAACCATCCTAGGCAATGCAAGGATGCACCCGTAGTCCTTTAACCCCAAATAATCCTAAGCCCTATCATAGAAACCCTTCAACCTTAATAGTTATGTGGCTCAAACATCCTAGGCCCCATATATCCTGAAGCCCTGTGAACCTTAAATTCCCCCCCTATATAAACCCTTTTGGTGATTATATGTAGGGTACTGCATTTTCCCTGAACCCCAGGCTCACAAGAAAGACTGCGACCAAAAGTAATCGTCTTTTCGTTGCAATTGCATGGACCACTGACATGTTTATATAATCTGTTTCGTAAATATCTTCTGTATTCGTGACGACTATTAGTGCAATTTGACAATGATTCACTCAATATTCCTTCCTTGCTACAGAAGGAAGATACCTTACATCATACTCAGGATCCCTAGTTAAGGGGGCTCTCTGGGATCAGAACCACGCACGTCGGTGCAGGCGGAGGTGAAACGCTTGAAGGATCAGGCGGGGAGTCGTGCGTTTGGGATGATGAGTCGGGTCCTACATCCCCTTTCCCAAAGCCCTAAACCCTTGGCACCCTTACACCCTTAAGCCACGAAGCCCTAAACCCCTAAACTGCAGACTTTAAAACCCCCCCCCCCCCCCCCCCTCCTAAACCCTCAACCCTGAGCCCTGAACCCTAAACCCTAAACCTTCAACCCTAAACCCTAAACCCTAAACCGCCCAGGGGCCGCCACCGCGTAGGGTTTAGGGTTTAGGGTTTAGGGTTTAGGGTTCAGGGTTCAGGGTTCAGGGTTCAGGGTTCAGGGTTCAGGGTTTAGGGTTAAGGGGTAGGGTTTAGGGGATGTTTGCAACAGCCGCGGATTTCTTCTTGATCTCCGTCAAAGAGTCATGGACATTCTCAAGTAGCAACTAGGGCAACATGAGTGCAAGGTAAGGGAAGTTCTTCGAGGGGGATGACGGTGAGCAGGGATATGCTATACTTTTTCCCAGAGCACAAAACTTTCAAAGCCCTGACCCTACATTGAATTTCCCTGCAACACTGAGTGCCCCCGAACCCAAAAAAGCCCAAAAAGGGACTCCGGATATCGGTACAGTAGGCAGCCTATGCCCTCCACCCCACGTGAACCTTAAACCCAAATCCAAGAGCCCTCCCTAAACACCCTGAACCCTACACCCTAAACACCAGGGTTTAGGGTTTAGGGTTTAGGGCTTAGGGCTTAGGGTTTAGGGCTTAGGGTTTAAGGTTTAGGGTTTAGGGTTTAGGGTTTAGGGCTCCGGAAGTAGGGTTGAGGTAGCCTGAAAGCTACATCTCAGGAGGCTGTGGATCGTTCGGCCAAGGGAGACTCCTCCGCGGAGGACCCTTTGAGGGCGGGGGGGGGGGGGGTTTCAGGGTTTAGGGTTTAGGGTTTAGGGTTTCGGGGGATTTCTAAGCTGAGAGGCCAAACCCTCAACCCCCAAAAGCCCCAACCTTCAACCCTGAACCCTATACCTAAAGGCTGGACTTTTTATTCTCCCCCAGAGATTTCCCAGAAAGGAACTACATGAGGAGCCTTCAGGTAAAGCCTCAACCCTGAACCCTGCGCCCATCTTTCTATTTACGGTGCGAGGTTCGGGAGAAGAAGAAGTCCAGCTTAAGGGCATAGGGGGGGGGTTCTTTAGGGTTTAGGGTTTAGGGTTTAGGGATTAGGGAGGTTGGCTCTCGAGGGTTTATACGGTCTAGGGTACACTGCCTTAAGAGCCCACACCTGCTTTTTTGCGGACGGTTATTTGGAAAGGGTTGAAGAAGCACGGCCTACAAATCAAAGTACTCTCTTCCGGTTTTTTTTGTTTTTTTTTTGGGGGGGGGGGGAGGCTGGGGGGCTGGGCCGGGGCTAGTATCTGACTATAGAGTGCAAACCCTGCAAGAAGGTAGCCAATGTAGCCACAAATTGGGATGTTCCTCCTTGTACGAACAGTCCTTCATAAGGATGACAGTACCCTCTATTATCTATGAAGGACCGTTAGTACAAGGTAACCAACAAAGGTGCGAATCCATTTTGTTGTGGGCTGCAGTGCATATCAGCGGGCATCTGTATATCCCGTATTGTACTGATTGTTGTTGAGGGGCGTACATGCTTTCTATAGAACGACGGGCGCGCCCTCCCTGTCTTACCCCCTGGCTCATGCCTGGGCGACTTCAACCCTAAACCCTAAACCGAGAGGGGCCTACCTTGATGAGGGGAATGCCCCGAAAGGGACGACGCTTGCGCGCTGACGATGTTCAAGGCCAAATTCTAGACTCTAGACTCCCTCACACAGTAAACGCTGCTATAGAAGCAAGCATTGAGACAGCCGCCACAAGTGTAAGACAGACTGCCAGGTCTTCAGCTGACTACATGAGGTAGTGAAGAGTTGTACCTAGGAGCATCATTCAAGGGACTAAGGGAGGGACCCTCACCAGGGACCTTAGGGGTTATTTGGGGGTTATTTAGCGGCTACTTAGGTATATAGGGACTACATAACGTATATATTTATATATATATAGGCCTTATATAGGGGAATAAGACTAAGGGTCCCTCCTTATACCCCTTGAAATCATGCCCCTCACGATTGAGGTGGGCCTGCTAAGCGGCCGGTCTGTTTCACTGGAAGCCAGGCTGGATGAGTCTCTTGGCAGCCCAGTAGTACCCTTTAGGGTTTAGGGTTTAGGGTTTAGGGTTTAGGGTTTAGGGTTTAGGGTTTAGGGTTTAGGGTTTAGGGTTTAGGGTTTAGGGTTTAGGCCGGTTCCCTGAAACAGTAACCAACCGAAAAAAGGGTGCCCATTATTATAAGATGGTTACTGAGCTACCAAAGGTCTGTAGAAACCGTGAAACGCAGAGCCCAGAAGGCTCTAGCAGCTGGAAGGGGAAGGCTCCTCGATTCCTCCGGAGGCGTTCTGGATGGAGCTGCCACACTTGAGGAATCTGGGCTGCAGAGTGGTGAGACACTGACCTTGCAGGTGAGCCGGGTTCTTGTTCGCAGCAACCACTGTGCTTTTGCTGCCGTTCTGGGCGATGGGTCTGCGGTGACCTGGGGCGATGTGGGCCGAGGTGGCGACAGCAGTTATGTGAAGGATCAGCTGATGAATATCCAGCAGATCCAATCTTCCTGGAGGGCTTTTGCTGCCATTCTGGGCGATGGGTCGGTCGTGGCCTGGGGCGATGCTGTTTGTGGCGGCGACAGCAGCTTTTTGAAGCATCAATTGAAGGACGTGCAGCAGATTCAAGCGTGTGAAGACGCGTTCGCTGCCATTCTGGGTGACGGGTCAGTTGTGGCTTGGGGCCATATTGGCCATGGTGGCGACAGCGGTGCTGTACAAGATCAGCTGAAGGACGTACGGCAGATTCAAGCATCTGCTTATGCATTTGCTGCTGTTCTGGGCAATGGGTCCGTCGTGACCTGGGGCGATGCCCGTTTTGGTGGCGACAGCAGTGCTGTGCAAGGTCAGCTGAAGGATGTGCAGCAGATTCAGTCCTGCGATCAGGCATTTGCTGCGATTCTCGGCGATGGATCCGTTGTGACTTGGGGCCATGGTGGCTGCGGTGGTGACTGCAGTCATGTGGAAAAGCCCTTGAAGGGAGTCCTGCAGGTCCAAGCATCTGGCGACGCATTTGCTGCAATTTTGAGTGATGGATCTGTTGTGACCTGGGGCGATGCTGGTTGCGGTGGAAGCAGCAGCGGTGTGAAAGACCAGCTAACGGACGTTCAGCAGATCCAAGCTAACAGCAGGGCCTTTGCTGCCATTCGGGGCGATGGGTCTGTTGTGACCTGGGGCGATGCTCGCTTCGGTGGCGACAGCAGTGCTGTGCAAGATCACCTCAGGGACGTTCAGCATATCCAATCTTCAGGCAGGGCTTTCGCTGCCATTCTGGGCGATGGATCTGTTGTGGCCTGGGGCACGGCCGCCTATGGAGGTGACAGCAGTGGAGTGCAAGATCAGCTGAAGGACGTGCAGCAGATCCAAGCCACCACGTCTGCTTTTGCTGCCATTAGGGGCGATGGGTCTGTAGTGACCTGGGGCGAAGCTCACAGTGGTGGCCACAGCATTCACGTAGAAGACCAGCTCAAGGACGTGCAGCAGATCCAGGCGACTCACAGGGCCTTCGCTGCCATTCTGGGCGACGGGTCTGTTGTGACCTGGGGATTTGTTGAGCATGGTGGTGACAGCAGTGTAGTGCAAGATCAACTGATGGCCTCGTAGCGATGCAGCAGCAGATGTTCGCCCTCTCGCTCTCGAGCTCGGGCGTGCTTACTCTCCCGCTCTCTCTTCTTTGTTTGCTTTGCCTCTCTTTCCTCTCTCTCCTCTTCGTTTCCACGCTGCCCTGGTCAGAGCCAAGAGGCGATTGTTCGCTGCCAGAGCAAACCGCGCCGAGCCAAAAGAGTACTTAGCATCGTCTCTTGATTGCTCTGCAACTCTTCTTGGCAGTCTGGCCACACAAATCCTCTTAAACCCGAGAATCAGCAAATCCCTCAGCCCCAATCCTCATAAGCACTTTTTGCGGACCATGCGCACCTCCGCTCCGACCAGGGCTATTCGGGCATATAGTCTCGCAATGAGGCCTATAAAGGGCTTCTTTCAGGGATTATGATAGGGTGGAGTAAAATTGAGGCTTTATTTAAATTTTACCCAAACCCCTCAAAGCCCTACAACCTAGGCCCTAAACCTTATGAATCCTGCACTTGTTTTCGGTGGTTTGGTGGCGCCCCAAACCGCCCGGCAAGCAGGACAATGCTCAGAGAGCTGCGCAGGGAGGCGCAAGGGTTTGGGATTGGGGTTTAGGGTTTAGGATTTAGGGTTTAAAAGGTTTAGGGTTCAGGGTTTAGGGTTTAGGGTTTAGGGCATATGGTTCAGGGTTCAGGGTTTAGGTTTCAGGGTTCAGGGTTTAGTCAGGGCCAATGTGGGCATTCGAGCTGAGCTTTGGGCCGTCCGTGCCCTTTCGTCCTGTAAGGCCCCAGGTGGCGGCTTCGGGGCTTTCTGGGGTTTAGGGCCTTTATGGTTCAGGGTTTTCAAGGGTTTGTTTGCCCTCGCTCTCTCTCTCTCTCTCCCTCTCTCTCTCTCTCTTTTCTTTCTCTCTCTCTCTCTCTCTCTCCATATCTCTCGCAACGAACACCAGTCCAAAGATGTTTCGGCTGTCGGGGCTTAGAGAGGTTGAGGGCCTCATGTGGATTATCGGGCAATGAGGGCTCGAGCCTTTGAGGGATTGCGGCTTGAGGGTTTAGAGTTTTAGGGTTTAGGATTCACTGCTGCGCGAAAAGAAACGGGTTAGGGGGTGTGGGCTTCCAAGCGTCTACGGTTGTCCCTGTTGGAGAACCAAAAAAAACGGGGCATGCGTCGCTTTCCGAGTGAAATGTTCACTTTTCGCGAAGTTCGCTGCGCAAAGTGGCGCCCTCAACCCTAAAGCCGCTAAGTCTAGCGCCCGGAAGCCCTAAACCACCCCGCGGCCTGAAACCCAAAAACCCAAAAACCCAAAACCCTCAAACCCTCAAACCCAAGAACCCTCAAACCCAAAAACCAAAATCCCCAAAGCCCTCAAACCCAAAACCCCAAAAACCCAGAAGCCCTCAAACCCTCAAACCCACAAACCCAAAAACCCAAAACCCAAAAACCCAAAAGCCCAAAAACCCAAAAGCCCGAAAACCCAAAAACCCAAAAAAACAAAAACCCTAAACCATACACCCTAAACCCTAAACCCTAAACCCCAGGTAAAGGCAAGCCTGGAGGCCAACGCAGTGCTGTGTTCAGGGTTCTGGGAATTGGCACCCTGGGTTTAGGGTTTAGATTAGGGTTTAGGGTTTAGGGTTGAGGGTTGAGGGTTTAGGGTTTAGGTTTAGGGTTTAGGGTTTAGGGCCTGGGGTTTAGGGTTTCGGCACCCTGGCAAGGCCCCTGAGGTTTAGTGTTTTGGCTTGGGCTTCGGAGGGGTTTAGGGTTTAGACTTGAGCTTTGAAAGGGTTTAGAGTTTAAGGGTTGTTTTAGTTTAGTCTCTTGTTTCCCTAAACCCGAAACCCGAAACCCTAAACCCGAAACCCTAAACCCTAAACCCAAAACCCGAAACCCGAAACCCTAAACCCTAAACCCTAAACCCTGAACCCTGAACCCTGAACCCTAAACCCTAAACCCTAGACTCTAAACCCTACCCAAAGGCGGGGGGGGTGGGCTGGAAGGGGGATGGTTGCTGTCTCCTCTAGGGATCTCGCAGGGGTCGAAAGTTTGGGGTCCGGACGGTCTCCCGGAATCCTTATGCTCTCCAAGACCCTGCGCCCTGAGACTTCCCAGCGAACCCCAAGAATTCTGAGGATTCTAAGAGTTTAGGGTTCGGGATTTGGGGGTTTATAAGGTTTAACCAGCCCTCAGTCCCAAACCCTCAGAACCCCAAGAACCCCGAACTCACTGACGGTCCCAGGCAAGTTTGGCGGAAAGTTCGGCATGAAAGGAGGCTGCTGGTGTCAGGTTTAGGGTTTAGGGTTTAGGGTTTGGGGTTTGGGGTTTGGGGTTGAAGGTTTAGGGGTTTCCCCAGCAACTTTAAATGGGTTGCTTTCCCCCCTTATGTCCCTTTGCAAACTCGTTGTAAACTTTGCACGGCCATGATACCCTTGCATACCTTCACTTTTCAATAGCGAGAGAGAGAGAGTTTGAGGTTTAAATTGTTTTCTGGTAACTCCTATTGGCTTTCCAACCACGCACACCCATCCGATGACGAGATCAAGACTATGGGCAAAACACTTCGCCAGCAAGTCCATCAGCACACTGGCCGGCATCAAGGCAAGTACTCCAAAGAATGGGTGGCCGACCCCCCAGTTGGAGCATCGAAGCCGCGGGCGGCGAGGTTCCATCCACCCTTGATAGGTGGCTTCTTTGGCTGCTACGACCGAAACGATGGATATGTCAAACTACGCCACAGTTGCAAACAGCCCTGGAGTCAACATCACGGTTGTCGTCAACAAAATTGTAGTAGCAGGAGGGCGGTGTTTGTTTCATGCCAAGAAACTATTGCGAACACGGTCGTGCTGTACTTCGAGGATAACCAGAAAGGCGTGGCCAGCCACAATGGCATGGGCACTGCATTCAGGGTCATCTAGGAATCTGGGATTTAGGAACTCTTATAGACCCTAAACCCCAAACCCTCGGACCTGAACCCTAGTGTTTGGGGTGGGGGGGTTCAGGGTAGTAGGTTCTGGATGCCGCTGTGGAACCATTCTATTCTTTCAGAGGTTCGCCATGTACATATTGCAACCCTCAACCCTAAGCCCCAAACTCTAAACCCCAAACTCTAAACCCCAAACCCTAAACCCCAAACCCCAAACCCTAAACCCTAAACCCTAAACCCTAAACCCTAAACCCTAAACCCTAAACCCTAAACCCCAAACCCTAAACCCTAAACCCTAAACCATACCAGGTTGAAGAGTTTTGGGAGTGGGGGGGGGGGGGGGGTCGAAACCGGGGATGAACTCCTGATACCCATGGTTGTTGCAGATTCGGCATTGCAAGGCCTTAGGAGATGACCCTAGGGTTTAGGGTTTCGGGTTTAGGGTTTTATGGTTTAGGGTTTAGGGTTTAGGGCGCTAGGGTTTGGGATGGGACCAGCCTCGGACGGTCAGGCCCCTTCTTGTAGTTGGTTTCAGGGGAGCGACAAGGCATGGCCCCTTTTTGGGTACCCTGAAGAAGTAGGGTTTAGGGTTTCGGGTTTCGGGTGTTGGGGTGCTAGGGTGTTTTAGGATGGACCTCCTGGTAATACGGACCCGAAGAGGGGCCATCTTTTAGAGAAGTGGCCATGGAGGTTTCGCTCCTGGCGAGGACGTTGGGGAGGCACGCGCGCATGCAACGTCGTGGTGTGGGCTTCAGGGGGTTGAGGCCTAAACCCGAAACCCTAAAACCTAAACCCGCAACCCTAAAACCTAAGCCCGAAACCCAAGCACACAAATTCAGAAGGATTTGGAAGTTGCAAGTCTCCAGGCCACATCCCTACAGGCGGCGTACGACATGAAGTTATGTCCAGAATAAGGAGGCGAAGACCACGCCCCTCACCCAACCAAAAGAGAGCAGGTCATTACAGTTCATGCTCTTTCGACTTCGTAGCTGCAGTGATTTGTTTCACATTGCGGCTGACGAAAGGGAAAACAGAAAGATGAGATTAGCAAAATCTCGTTCCCGATCGCGGCTGGGCGTCATGTCTGCGCTAATCCCAAACCCTAAACCGAATCCTCCGAGCCCGATGGCCCAAAAATTTGGGGGTTTAGGGCGCTTAGGGTTTTGGGTTTAGGGCCAAAAACCTGCATGCGGTTTAGGGTCTAGGGTTTAGAGACTAGAAGTTTAGGCTGACTGCTGCGTGACTGCTTACGGGGTCAGGATTGCGCCCTAGACCTGAAGCCCCAACAACATTGAACCTTCAACCCCTGCTAAACCTCTTAAACCCTAAACCTAATTTCCTCACCAAACACGAAACCCTTAAGCTCCCATAAACTCATGAACTCCTACACGCCAAACCCCTATACTATTTCCTAAACCCTAAACCCTTCAACTCCTGAGCTCATAAACATTAAACCCCGAAGCTATTTCCTAAACCCTGAACCCTTAAACTCCTAAACTCAAAACCCCTAAACCCTGAACCCAACAAGCTGCAAAGGCTGCGGCGCGCCACTTCGAAGACCGTCGGGCGCAGAACCGCCAGGACCCCTCCTGGGTGATGGGTATAGGGTTAGGGTTTAGGGGGGGTTTAGGGCTTAGGGTCTAGGGTTTAGGGTTTAGGGTATAGAGGTAGGGTTTAGGGTCTCGGGTTTAGGGTTTAGGCTAGGGTTGATGGTTTCGGGCTTGCACTAGGGTGGATGCAGGGTTTGCGCTTTCATGGATTCAGGTCTTTCGAAACTGAAACCCAAAGGGTCTCAGAGCTTCGCGCTGCAACAGCCAGCGAGCTTTCGGCTTTGCCTTAGGGTTTCTCGGTTCCCTTACAAAAGTAGCCAACCCCGCCAAAAGGGTACCCACGGCATATTCTGGTATGGCTTCTTGGCTGCGGAGGTCGCTTTCTATCTGCACGAGGTATTGACACTATCTGTCTACATTCAGGCATAGTATCTTTTTCTATATGCCCCACACCCTAAACCCTAAACCCTAAACCCTGCCTTCGGATGTAGGATTTCGAGCTTCAAATGAAGATCCTGCGCGAGGCGTGCTGAGGGGGTGGCGGATGGGCCGAGCTCGTTGCAGGGTCAGGCTCAGGGTTCCCTAAACCCTACTTGGGATTCATGGTACTTCTTAACCAGCTATATCTGCACTTCTAACCAACTTATAAGCCCCTTGAGGGCCCGAATATGGTTAGAAGTACAGTTGGAAGTACAAACCCTAAACCCTAAACCCTAAACCCCAAGCATCCCTAAAGTGTCAAGGCTGGGTAGCCCAGTGGTACCCTTTTGTTCCCCTTTCGTTGTGTTCTGTGTTCCCCTATAGTAACCAACCGCAGAAAGGGTTTAGGGTTTAGGGTTTAGGGTTTAGGGTTTAGGGTTTAGGGTTTAGGGTTTAGGGTTTAGGGTTTAGGGTTTAGGGTTTAGGGTCTTATTATGACATGGTTACTGGGTTACCAAGACGTGCTGTTAGGGTTTAATATAGGGGTCGGAATAAGTACTAATATTACTTCCTTATTGTCCCTATAGATCTATATTATACTGACCCCCCCCAAACCCTATTCGAATTATTAAGGCCCCTATATTGTAGGGTTTGCAGAGTTTAGAGGGTTTGGGCCTGTGTTAGGTGCTGGCCTCATGTGTCCCGGGGTAGCTGTCTCTGCGGGGAATGCTGCAGGGTTTAGGGTTTAGAGTTCATGAGCTAGGGTTTAGGCTTTGTGGTACTTTACTGTAACTTTAGATCCTTACCTTTTTGGGGTTTATTGGGTTTCTTATTAAGGCAGCTAAAAGTTTAATTTGTAGCTACTCCTCCTGAGTGCAGCCAAGTAGGGTCTAGGGTTTACTGTGTGGGGATGGGGCTTCATGCGAGCAGGGTTTGGGTGGTTCGGCGTTCGGGCTTACAGGGTTTCCTGGGTGATATTGATGGAAGCAACTTTAAGAATGTAAGTATGGGGTTAATAAACATTAGAAGGTCAACCTAAATTAAGAGGAACAGATGTGAATGGGAATAGAATTTTGGAACAGAATCGGCTAGATCCATGAATCAACGTTCTTATATCCAAGGCATTCAATCTTGCAAAGTTGTCATGGAATTGAGTAGGCATATTAAGCATATCATTTAAAAGAGAATGCCCTAAAGCCCCCACACAATCGTGTAAATGGTTTAAGCTCCTAAACCCTAAAACCTAAACCCTAAACGCTAAGAAATGTTCTTGGGGCTCATCTTCGACGGTGAGGGCTTCAGGGTTTCGGGTCGCGAGCGTCGCAGGCAGATGTGATCTGCACCACCACCATCGCGGCAGGCCTCGACCCCCGAAGCCCTGTGAGGGTTTAGGGTTCAGGGTTTAGGGTGTAGGGTTTAGGGTTTCGGGCTTAAGGGCTCAGGGCTTAGGGTTTAGGATTTGGAGCATTTAGGCTCACGCCTAGACCAAACCTGAATCTTTTGGGCTTGAAGTGCTAGGAGTTGGGGGAAAAGGTATAGGTCTTAGACTCGAAGCCCCAAACCCCCATGTAGATCAAGCCGCTGCACCGGGAGTCACAACCACGTAGCCCTCGCCATCTTCGCCCTCATTCTCACACAGGCCAGCCTTATGGCCTATCAAAGGGTCTTGCAAGACGTCGCTTTTGCAGCCAATCAAATATATACTGTCAACACGCGCCAGAAACCCTAAACCCCGAGCCCCTTCATAGTGGCATCATGCCCCTTACGATTGAGGTGAGATTGCTAAGTGGCAGGGCGGTTGCACTGGCAGCAGGACCGGACGAGCCTGTGGAAACCCTGAGAACCAGAGCACAGAAGGCTCTAGCAGTTGGCAGGGGCCGACTGGTGGACTCGTCCGGGCGAGTGCTGGACGGAGCAGCCACGCTTGAAGAATCTGGGCTGCAGAGCGGCGATACGTTGACATTGCAGTTGAGCAGGGTTTGCATTCACGGCAACAAACAAGCCTTTGCGGCCATTCAGGGCGATGGGTCTGTGGTGACCTGGGGCAGTCCCGTGCTCGGTGGCGACGGCAGCGGAGTGCAAGATCAGCTGAAGGACGTGCAGCAGTTGCAAGCTACCACCGTAGCTTTTGCTGCCATCCTGGGGGATGGGTCTGTGGTGACTTGGGGTGCTGACAGTGGCGGCAACAGTAGTGCTGTGCAGGGCCAGCTGAAGGACGTGCAGCAGATCCAAGCTACTACGGGCGCTTTTGCTGCGGTCCTGGGCGATGGCTCTGTTGTGACCTGGGCCGATCCATTACTTGGTTCAGGGTATGGTGGCGACAGCAGTGCTGTACAGGGTCAGCTCAGGGATGTGAAGCAGATCCAAGCATCTAACTACGCTTTCGCTGCCATTCTGGGCGATGCGTCCGTTGTGACATGGGGCCAAGCAAACCTTGGTGGCGACAGCAGTGCCGTGCAAGGTCAGCTGAAGGATGTACGAGCGATCCAGGCCACTAACAAGGCGTTTGCTGCCATTCTGGGCGATGGCTCTGTCGTCACTTGGGGTCATGCTAGCGCCGGTGGTGACAGCCGTGCTGTGCAATCGGAGCTCAAGGATGTGCAGCAGTTGCAAGCTACCACGGGCGCTTTTGCCGCCATTCTTGGGAATGGATCTGTTGTGACCTGGGGCGCTGCTGACCACGGTGGCCAAAGCATCCAAGTGGAGCATCAGCTAAAGGAGGTGCAACGAATCCAAGCTACTCACCAGGCCTTCGCGGCCATTCTGGGCGATGGGTCTGTGGTGACCTGGGGGGATGCGTCGTATGGGGGCGACAGCAGCGCTGTGCAAGGCCAGCTCAAAGACGTGCAGCAGATCCAAGCTACCGGCCGGGCCTTTGCTGCCATTCTGGGCGATGGGTCTGCGGTGACTTGGGGCCATGACCGGTTTGGTGGCGACAGCAGCACTGCTCAAAGCCAGCTGAAAGATGTGCGGGACATCCAAGCTACTTTGGAGGCCTTTGCAGCCATTCTGCGTGATGGCTCGGTCGTCACCTGGGGCCATGCGAGCAGCGGTGGTGACAGCAGTGCGGTGCAGAGTCAACTCAAGGAAGTGCAGCAGGTCCAAGCTACTGACAGGGCTTTTGCAGCCATTCTGGGTGACGGGTCTGTGGTGACCTGGGGGAATGCTAGCACCGGTGGTGACAGCAGTTCTGTACAAGATCAGCTGAAGGCCATGTAGGAGGAGATGCTGTGCAGCACTGCGCAGAAACACCCCATTTGTTGCGCTTGTCATGGCATACCCTTAATACTGAGTCCTTGGCCAGTATGAGGCCCTGGAAGCATTGGCATACTTACACGCTCTGTCTGCATGCCCCTACACAGGTACTCCTCACGTGTAGATACTCCTCACATGTAGATGACCCTTGACCCTAAACCCTAAACCCTAACCCTAAACCCTAAACCCTAAACCCTAAACCCTAAGCCCTAAACCCTAAATCCTAAACCCTTGGTAAGGCATACACCAGCCGGGGCTTGAACAGGTCTGGCCATGTCTCCGTCACCCACATAGACATGGGAGGTTTACGGGTTTAGGGTTTAGGGTTTCGGGTTCAGGGTTTAGGGTTTAGGGGTTAGAGCTTAGGGTTTAGGGTTTAGGGTTTAGGGTTTAGGGTTTAGGGTTTAGGGTTTAGCGGACTAAACCCCAAAGTAGTCGGATCGCCATATAATAAGGACCCCAATGAGGTACCCCTGATATCGTAAGCCCTCAAACAGGTTTGAGTCGGACGTGGCCCTCAAAGGAATCTCTCACTGAAGGTCTGAGGGGCTTCGCGTGCAGAGCCTACGAGGTTAGGATTAATGCACGGCCTGCACCTATGTCAAGCTTCAACCCGAAACCCAACCTTTTTTCCTTTTTTTGGCCGCAAGCCCTAAATCCCTAACCCTGAACCCTGGACGCTGCAAGCCTTAGGAAACCCCAAACCCTAAACCCAAAGCCCCAAACCCCAAACCCTAAACCCTAAACCTGCCCGAACGTACTAATGTCAAAGCCTACAAACCCTGACGTATGGCATGTTCTCCAAAGTGTTGCCACTGTTGCGGTTCCCATTGTCCCGCGAGACTTGGATTTCGGGCACCCCAACAGGGAGCATAGTTTCGAGACGAGTTCGCCCGGAGCAGTAGGGCTTAGGGTTTGGCCCAGGCGCTCTAGGGTCGTTGATCTACCCTGTACCCTAACCCCTAAACTTCGGCAGCACCTCCCCAAAATCCTAGCCCCAAACCCTAAACTTGAAACCCGAAACCCTAAACCATAAACCCCAAACCCCAAACCCTAAACCCTAAACCCTAAATCCTGCCAAGCTCACCTTCAACACCCCAAAAATGGGCCCAAGAGGCATGGACTTTTTGGCCCGCCTCTCCTCATTCGAGGGCATCCTCGTCGATGAAGTCGCCCAGGTCACAGAATTTGGGGGAAGGCTTTGTTTTTTTTTCAGGGTTTAGGGTTCAGGGTTTAGGGTTTCCCCCCCCCCTCCCCCAAAAAACAAAAAAAACGAAACAAAGACATTCCTCAACCCTGAACGGCTGCGGGGCTGGGGTTGAGAGGGTCTAGGTTTGAACAAGCTCAATGGCACAATAATAGTACTTGTTGCACTATAAGTAATGGTAATAACAACAACAAGAATGACAAAGACTCAGTACAAAATAATAATAGACAAGAGTGTAAAGAACGCCTGCACAAAGTCGTGCTTTTTGCTCCATGGGCTTAGGCTTTAGGGCGCCGGCACATCAGGTCATTTGGGCCCAGGGGTCGTTTCTTCTTTTTTGAAACTCATGCTTCGAAAGAGGGCGTAGAGAATACTAGGTGAGCACATATTATAATCGGGATCCAAAAAGGGACCATAATTTTGACAGCCACCCATATGGGTACCCCGAAACATACCCCCTCCCCCCCGCTAGTTTTGCAGGTAAAGTAGCTCATGATGCGCGAAACATACCCCCGAAACATACCCCCCAAAACATACCCTGATCCCAACACCTGCGCGCGCCCCCCCCCCCCCCCCCACCGAACAACCCTATACTTCTGCAGGATTTCTGCAAGGCTTCTGAGATCTACTCAGCAACCTCAGATGTAAACCCTAACCCTGAACCCTGCAGGCCTATAGAGTTTTGGGATTTTGGGGGTTTAGGCTGAGGGTTCATTCAGGGTTTAGGGCTTAGGGTTTAGGGTTTAGGGCTTTGGGTTTAGGGTTTAGGCGGGTTTAGGGTTTAGGGTTTAGGGTTTAGGGCCTCAGCCTTATCTCCGAAGCCAAGAGATTTTCCTGCAGGCCACCGAGCTGTCCACCTCAGTTCCGGTGATCCTCCGGGGAGTCCGGGACCTGCAGGGGGGTTGTAGGTTTTTTTGCCTTTGGGTTTTAGGGTTTAGGGTTTGGGGTTTGGGGTTTAGGGTTTAGGGTTTAGTGTCGATAAACTTGGCGGCTTAGGGTTTAGGATTTCGGGCTATAGGGTTGAGGAGGGTAGGGTGCAATTCAGGATCTGCAATGCGGGGCAGCAAAGGGAAGCCACTCGGGTGCGGGCCCAGGGTTGAGGCTTTAGAGTTCTGATTCCTTTCAAACTGCTTTCGGGGTGTTGCCGAGATAGCCAAACCCTAAACCCTAGACCCCAGACCCTGAACCCGAAATCCTAAACCCTAGGCCTACTCAAAAAAGGGCAACCAAGGGTCGTTGGCTTCGTACTAAAGTCTAAAGCCTAAACACCTCTAAAGATGGACCTTTGCAACCACCCCCCCCCCCCCCCCCCCCCAAACCCTAAACCCTTCTCAAATGGGGGGCCTATCTTTAGGGGATCCGAAGTATGGGCCCTTAAATTGGGTCCCCTGTTATATAACCCTAAACCCCAAACCCTAAACCCTAAACCCTAAACCACGAAAGAAAGGCCCATACTTCGGATCCCTTTCAACCCCGTTAAACAGGGGCAAGAGACCATACTAAGGGCCATGGCTCCAACCTTAGAATCTTGATCCCTACTTGGAGGTTCATGGTAATTACTTACCCTAAACCCTCAACCCTAAACCCTAAACCCTAAACCCCAAAGGTACTTATAACTGTACTTATTCAGGCACTTAAGGGGCTTAAAAGTGGGCGGTTCTGGTCACACGTCAGCCGGACAGTCGGCGCCTCATTTTTAATCGAGATGGCATTTTGGACTAGCCACGAGGGGTTTGGGGTTTAGGGTTTAGGGTTTAGGGTTACGTAAGTTTAGGGTTTAGGGTTTAGAGTTTAGGGTTTAGGGTTTACGGTTTAGGGCTACTCCATAATCTTTGTCGATTCTAGACAAACATCGCCAGTACAAATGCCTCGGTCGCTGGCGACCTGCCAGAGCCTTTCCTCAGCGCGAGAACGGAACCAGATCCAGCTTTTTTTCAGGGTAGCTGCACCCTCGTCATAGGGACTCTTTACCGTCTCCCAACAACCCGGTACGTCCCAAAACCCGAAGATGTAAAGCCCTGAAGCCCTAAGACCTCAAACCCTAGCAGTCGAAGCGCTCAAAAAAAACACTGAAAGCGCAGTAAGCCCCCAGAAGCCCAGAACCTCAGACCCTAAAAGCCCTAAACCCTAAACCCCAACCCTAAACCCGAAACCCTCAACCCTAAACCCTAAACCCCAAACCCTAAACCCTAAACCCTAAACCCTGCGTAAACCCTCAACCTCAAGGCCAATCGACTGGTGCTTGTTGGGGACCACTGTCAGCTGCCGTCGCGGCCCTGGAGATCAGGGCTTTTGGCGCTTTGGGCCATTTTAGGGGCAGAGGGTTTAGGGTTTAGGGGTAGGGTTTAGGGTTTAGGGTTTAGGGTTTAGGGTTTAGGGTTTAGGGTTTAGGGTTTAGGGTTTCGGGATAGGGTTTAGGATTTGGGGGGCTAGAGGTTGATGTCAGCCATCGTGGCGAACTGCAAAGACGGGGTTTGGGCAAAACCCTAGACCCGAAACCCTGAGCCCTCGACCCCAAACCCTCAAGCCTGCAACCACAGTGAAGTACAAGGTTCTCAGCTTCCACGCGAAGCCCTTAAAGCCGGCTATAGCAAACCCTAAACTTTGAGCTTACTGGGCTGAAGGCTTAGAGGGGGCGTTTTCGGAGTGATGGGCTCCGCATTGTCTTGCCCTGCAACCCTTTTGGGGTGTAAACCCTGAGCCCTCAAGCCCTTAGCCTGAATGCCCAAACACCCTAGAACCCTAAAGCCTGAACCCGGACACACTACAACAAAGACGTTGAACTTGAAGCCCTGTAATGCTAGACCCCCCCAACCCCTACAAATCGAACCTCCAAAACCCAAACCCTGAACCCTGAACCCTAAACCCGAAGCCCTAAACCCTAAACCTAAACCCTAAACCCTAAACCCTAAACCCTAAACCCTAAACCCTAAACCCTAAACCCTAAACCCTAAACCCTACACCCTACACCCTACACCCTACACCCTAAACCCTAAACCCTAAACCTTTCCTCCCGAGAGGCCGGCCGTGCTCTCCCCGGAGGCAGAGGTCCGCGGGCTGTCCGTTTCTGCAGCTGGGGCAGCAGTAGATTAGGGTTTAGGGTTAAGGGTTTAGGGTTTAGGGTTCAGGGCTTAATTAGGGTTAGGGGTTTGGGGTTTGAGGTTTGGGGTTTAGGGTAGGGGTTTGGGGTTTGAGGTTTGGGGTTTAGGGTTTGGGGTTTGGGGTTTGGGGTTTATGGTTTAGGGTTTAGGGTTTAGGGTTTAGGGTTTGCTGTGATAGGGCGTAGATGCTGTTAAGGTTAGGTTTAGGAACAAGCTCGAAAGCTTCGTGAGATCCGAAGAGCAGCTTTGGCCCGATTGTGGAGGGCCATCTAACACTTTTCTCCCACCCCACGCCGTCCAAGGCGGCAAAGCCACCCAAACCTATTCCTTTTAGGATTTAGGCCTAAACTCAGACAACAGTCCACTTTTCAAAACTTGTTCAGTTTCATGATGGGGGGTAGGGGGTCCAGAAAAGCCAGGCGGGCAGGCCAGGGCCAGAGGGCCAGGGGGGTCATGGGCGCCAGCGGCATTTGAGCCCTCTAGTGCTGCGGCGAGGGGTCCAGGACCCCCTGGGCTGGGGCCCTGGGGGGCCAAGGCCGGGCCGCACAGAGCTTGGAGCTCCAGGTTTAGGGTAATGACTTTAACAAGGGACCAGTACTGGTCCAGAGAGGAGAACGTGCTCCGGTGCCGGGCCCATCGTGGGTGCTACCGACCTCCGAGCTGTGGAGGCGGGCGAACGACCTGGGTCGGCTTGCGCCATCGAGGTCGAGGGGCTTAGGCGCCGCCCCCCAACTGTAGGGGGGCGGCCTAGGCCTTGAGTATAGGGTTTTGGGTTTTGGGGTTTGGGTTTAGGAATTCAGGGGTTTAGGGGTTGAGGGGCTTGGGGTTTCTAAGGCACTTTCTTGCTAAGGGCTGTAGTGGTCCCAAGTCCTGAACCCACCCTAAACCCTATAAACCCTAAACCCTAAATAAGCCCATTAAGTCCTAAACCCTAAACCCTAAACCCTAAACCCTAAACCCTGGTTATTTCCACTTGACAAGGCCGTCTTCTTAAAACACCTCCGCCCCGGAGTGGGGGTTTAGTGCTGGTAGGCGTCGAAGAACTCTCAGCCCAAGGGTTGAGGCTTTAGGGTTGAGGCTTGAGGGTTTAGGGGTGTAGGGTTGAGGGGTGAGGGTTTTGGGTTTCGGGTTTACGGTTTAGGACCACAACCCCCCCCCCCCCCCCCCCGAACAAAAAAACAAAAACTCCAGAGTCAGCTTTGCTCTTCGGAGGTTGCATCCCGGAGCCCCATGACCCACTTAGGACACCACACCAGTGAAGCGCTGAAACCCTTTGAGGGTACAGGGCTTAGGGTTTCGGGTTTAGGGTTTAGGGTTTAGGGCTTCAAGGGTTTAGAGTATAGGGTTTAGGGTTCAGGGCATGTGGCATGTGCAGGGTGCACCCATGGGGGGTGGACCGGGTGCAGCCCAAAGGCTACTTGACAGTTCATGAGGTTTAGGGTTTAGGGTTTAGGGTTTGGGGTTTGGGGTTGGGGGTTTGGTGTTTGGTACGTGGAATCAAGTTGGAACTGGGTTCAACCCAGGCTAGCTTAGCCCTACAACCCGGGCTTCTCCAAACTTTATGCCCCAAATGTCAGTTCCAGCTTGGAACGCCCTAAACCCTAAACCCTAAAACCCTAAACCCTAAACCCTAAACCCTAAACCCTAAACCCTAAACCCTAAACCCTAAACCCTAAACCCTGTGCGAACTGCCATTGCTGCGTTGCAGGGTCCTGGTCGTAGGTGTGGGGACGATTGAGAGGCATAAAAGTTGAGGTAGTTGAGGATTTAGGGGCTTAAGCCCTGAACCTGAAACCTTTTAGGGTTTAGGGTTTAGGGCTTAGGGCTGAGGGCTTAGGGTTTGGGGCTTATAGGGCTTAGGGCTAAGCAAACCCCCAGGAGAGTTCAGGCAGGCCTTTAGGGTGTAAAGGCTTCAGCAAATCTTGGCTGCACAGTCTGCAGGATTTGGGGTTGAGGGTTTAGGCCCTAATCCCTAAACCCTAAACCCTCAACCCTAAACCCTAAACCCTAAACCTCAGGTTTACTCGCGCCTCATCCAGGCCTCAAGCTGATGGGTCTAGCAAATTTTGGGTTCAAAGTGTAGCAATAGAGGCCCTAGTTGGGCATTTGCAGGGGGTTCTGGAGACCCTGTGGTTGCTTTTTTTGAGGGGTTTTTGAGGGTTTTGAGGAATTTGAGGGTTTGGAGGGTTTTGCAGGGTTTTGAGGGTATTGAGGGTATTGAGGGTATTGAGGGTTTTTGAGGGCATTGAGGGTATTGAGGGTATTGAGGGTATTGAGGGTATTGAGGGTATTGAGGGCTTAGGGCTTTTTTGGGTTCGGGGTTTAGGGTTTTTCAGGTCCGGGGTTTGGGGTTTAGCGTTCGGGGTCTGGGATGTCGGGCGTTAGGGTTCAAAGTTTTTGGAGGGCTGCCGCATACCAGTTGCTCGGAATGAGGGCCCTCTTCCTTGTGTTTAGGGGTTAGGGCTTAACCTTTATGTGGGAATTCGATGTCGTTATACGTAGGGTGTTAGAGCAAACCCGATTTTAACTGCCCGTGAACCTCTAAGGAATGGCCCAGGCGACCCTTTATGCGCAGCTCTCAAGAGTCTGGTCCCTTCTTGGGTACCCTAAACCCTAAACCCTCAAGGGTGTTGGGGGACAGCCACGATACCACGTAGGATCACGTGCCGGGCGAATATGATTCCGCCATATTCTGCCAAGCCGTCAGCGACACAACCCTCATGGCTGTCGCTTACTCTCAAATCGACTTGGGACACCGGTGGGACCCCGGAACCGCAAGGATTCATTGGGCTGCTTTGGGGCCCAGGGTTGTAAGAGCTCAGTGCAAGAGAGCTTCCCAAGCCGAACATGTCGGTTCCAGCTCCAAAAGCAGACGCAAGGGGAGGGGGGGGGGGGGGGGCTGTTCTTCTTGGGGTTTGGGGTTTGGGTTTAGGTTTTAGGGTTTAGGGTTTAGGGTTTAGGGTTTAGGGTTTAGGGTTTAGGGTTTAGGGTTTAGGGTTTAGGGTTTAGGGTTTAGGGTTTAGGGTTTAGGAACGGAGTTGTGATCGTCCCATATCTCTCCTCACTCCTGAACCCTAGTCTCTAACACCCTGCAGCTCTAGGAATGGTTTTATGGAGAAGGGGGCTCCCCTGAATACTCTAAATATGGGGGTCAGAATAATTACTAATATTTCCTTATGGTCCTTTTGTAATTATACTTTTCTAGCCCCCCAAAACTCCCTAAACCCTAAACCCTAAACCCTAAACCCTAAACCCTAAACCCATGGTTTCTGCTAGAGGCCGGTGGCCTGCAGCCCTTCCTGCTGGACACGTCGCCCCAGCCAGAGTTCATGCAGATGTGGGGTTCGGGCTTTAAGGGTTTAGGGTTTAGGGTTTAGGGTTTAGGCTTTTGAACCCTAAACCTAGACCCTAAACCCTAATCCCCCAAACTCCAAACCGTAAACCCTAAACCCGAAACCTAGCAGCCCTGAATCCCAACCCTAAACTCAAAGCTCCTGTAGTCGTCATGAACCCCGAACCTTAACCCTACACCCGGAAACCATATGGTCACTTCTTAAAAGATGGCACCTCGTAACTGGCCGATGTTAGGGCTCGGGCCGGCTAGGGGCCGCCGGGTTCGCCCATTTTCTTTCTCCACATCTGAATTCTCAGCGAGTTGGTCCTAAGGTTGAAATGCGGGTTTTAGGGTTACCTGAGCCCCCCTAAACCCTAAACCCTAAACCCTAATCCCTAAACCCTAAACCCTAAACCCTAAACCCGAAACCCGAAACCCTAAACCCTAAACCCTAAACCAAAACCCAGACCCCTACAAGCCCTAAGTCCCTGAGTCCCATATACCCTCTGGCAAACCCCGTCCATGAACCGTTCGTGGCCAGCTCGGCAGGCAATATCGATCTCATCCCAAGCTCGCAGAGTTTTCCAGCAAGGCTTCTGGGCTGCAGGGAACGGATTTCCGGGCTTTCGGGCTTTTACGATTAGGATTTCGGGTTTCGGGTTTGGGGTTTAGGGTGGGCTTATGAGGCTGTGGGGATTTTGGGGGATAAACCCGGAACCCCAAACCCCAAACTCCCAACACAGGATCCCCAAACCCCAAACTCCCAACACAGCTCAGGTTCGGGTTTGGGAAGTTGAGACTTTATGCAACCCTAAACCCTAAACCGTATCCTAAACCCTAGACCACAGTTTGTTCCAAGCATGTTGCGTTTTCGCTATGTGCATCGCTACCCTGGTTTTTCCTTTACTACTTATCTAGACCCCGAGAGTAAGCTGGGAATGAAACCCTAAACCCTAAACCCTAAACCCTAAACCCTTTTGGGTTCAAAGGGGCTTCTAGGGGAACGTAACCCGAAGAAAAAAGATATACAAAAAGGGGAAGAAGGGCCTACTCCGGGTCTGAGGCCGAAACCCCAAACCCTAAGCCTAGGCCCTTCTGAAACCCAAAACCCTAAACCCAAAACCCTAAACCCTAAACCCTAAACCCCAAACCCTAAACCCTAAACCTGAAAACCCTACCCCTAAACCCTAAACCCTAAACCCTAAACCCTCCGAAACTCCTCCGAGCTTTGTCTGCTCCAGGCCTTCTACGATGGCCTCCTCAAAAGTGGCATCCAGGACCTTCCCTGCATTTAGGGTTTAGGGTTTCGGGTACGGGGGGACAACCAAGGAAGGAAATCAACTCCCCTAATCGCCCTGAACTTATATTTCCCAGATCGAACCAAGAAACAACCAAGAACACGGATAAGAGCAACCCAGGGGGGAAGGAAAGGGGGAAGGAATCCACACCCTTACCAAACCCTAAGAACCCAGGCACTTCTTTTTGAACTTGTGGCTTTCTGTTCAAGCCCATCTTGAGCCAAATACGATTACCGGGTTCATTAACCCTTCCAACTTCCAACACTAACTCCTTTCTACAATACCAATTGCAGCTCCGCACTCCCCCTGTCCTAGGATTTCCTAGGACACATTGGAGATGCAGATCTTTTGGCCAAAAACTGCCATTACGGCAGCAGCCAGCTGCTTGAAATGCAAATTGTGGTTTAACGTCTTCCAGGACGGAATTATAGCACATTGGCTAACCTACTACCCATAGAGAATCTTTTTTCACCTTGATCCTCTCATCACTGAAGACTCCTTGGCCTTCTTCACCACAAACCGTGGTCTTCGCTACGCGAAAAGCTACTGACTCCTACTATCAGGGATTTCCATACCCTTAATAGTAACCACCACATTGTCAGCACATTGGCTGTTCCAGCGCACTTGTCTCCAGAAAGAGAAAAACCATCCCTTCATCCATACCATCCAATCACTTCTTTTTCCGATTGTTGGCAATCTTGAGGTGAAGTTGCAGCAGAATATACTCCAGGTCCGAAACTGTAAGAACAGGATCCTGTATGCCCCTTTGAATTGAGGATACCAATCCTTCTCTCTTCGCATCCTCAATCGCCTGGCAAGATTGATCCAGCTCTTCATTCGCATTGGCAGACCCTGGTGCCTCCGCATCGGATGGACGATCCTTTTCCTCAGGATCTTGCACCATTACCACCTCTTCTTTTTTGGGACTCTGACTTTTCTCCTTCTTCTTTGTCTTTCCACCGACATTTGACTTTGTGCGCGCTTTTGAGGCTTTTTCCACTGCAGAAACCACCACATTGGATGATGATCCACCCTTCTCAATGACCGCCGGCATCTTCTTCGGCTTTGGAACCATGAGGGTATAAGGATCTTCGATAGCTGCAGCTTTCCTCTTCTTTTTTACCTTTTTCTTCTCCTCCTCAACGGCAACCTCCGTCTCCGAAGTCTCAACCACTTCTTTTTCGGCAGGAATATCTTTGCTGGACTCCCCTTCTAGGGACCTCTTTTTCCCTTTTTTGGGATCCTTTTCTTCTCCCAAATTGGCTCGCTCATACCATATCCTCAGGTCATTGACCCATTCTTCCACCTCCGCGAGTGAAACATCGTACGACTTCACTACTTCGAGAAGTTCCAGCACTGACAACATTTCAGTGGTCCACGAAACCCATACTTGATCCATGTAGTCAGCATCTCCAGTGATCTTCAGGAGTTTGAACAATGGGTCCGCCTCTGCTCGAGCCAAATCTGACTTGCCATTGGACAGAAATGAAATCGCCTCCATCAACAGTTCCGTCATCTTGGTCTCTTCGTCATAAACCATAAAATCCTCCTCATCATCACCGAACTGTTCAGGAGAGATCTCCTTTTTTCCACCATTTGCACCAGACTTTCTCCTTGGACCATCCCTTGGGGGCGTCCTTGGAGACCTTGGCCTCTGTTTTTCCAACGGAACCTCATGTCCAAAGACACACCTGTCACCAAACCGACACTTCCCAGACCGAGCAAACTGGACGCACCTCACACCAGTTGCATCATGCGAGAACTCACAATCCTTTCCAGCGAAACATTCTCTCCCTGCCACATAGTACTTGCACCAATATGAATGTAGCACCACATCATCTTCGGAATGGATGAATTTGCAGTCGTCACCAAATTTGCAGCGATCTTTCCCTTTGCCAAACCAATAGCAGAAACCCTTCTTCCTCTTCTCCAAGCGCTCTGCCTCATACCGGTCCATAGGGCGACTGTGCTCTACATGAACATTGCCATGTACCTGGGGACTGCTCCCTTCACCCGACGTGCTATCAGTATTTGGTGCTTGGAGTACAGCTGGAAAACCTGGCCTTGGTCCTACCACCTTCATGATCGGTTTTCCGCCAACTCCTGAGCCATGCTGAGACGATCCAAAAACATTGAACATCTTCATGAAGGCCTTCCTAGCGCCAATCTTCTGCACCCTTTTGATTGGACGTTTCATTGCTCCAACCTTGCATCCAGATGCATTCAAACGACGCAACCTTCTAAACCCAACTCTATGTCCCTTCTTCCAAAGAGCCATAAGAATTTTAGAGGCAGTAACATTCTCCACCTCTACCTTTTCCAATGATCCCTCACTTCCCGGAACAAACCCATCCATCTCTGAAGACCTTTCCATCTTTTTTGACACCACTTCGTCGAGGTAGTCTTCTGAAATCCAGGGAAAGTTCCCCTTAGAGGAAGGATTGTCATCATTGTTTGGTCCTTCACCAGGATATCCTTTGGTGCTGTCAAAGATCTTACCAGTAGTGCGGTCCTGCATAGAGAAATTCGAAGCCACGCGGGAGTACACTGACCACAAGAAAATCCTTGTGTCCGCCAGTCTGGATGACCCACTGGATTTCTCCTCTTCCGGAGAAACTTCTGGCGCTTTGCCCTTCCCTCCAGTGTCACCGCTTGTCTCACCTCCAGCATCTTCAATGGGAATAAGGGATTCATTGTTCCCTTGATCAAGCACCGCATCCTCTAGTCCAAGAACTTCCAGCATCGCTGTCGAAGGATCCACCTCCTCATCCGCATCGTCGTCCATCCTTCTCCAGAGAGCCTCCAATTGGTCCGCACAAGTCGCCGCTTGAAGAAACTCCATCAACCGAGCCCTCCCGCGCTGCCAGAGAAATTCTGAAACCATCACCGACCCTTGTGCTCCCAGATTCAGGAATGGGTGAACCATTTTGGCTACCCTCGCCATAAGTTCAATATGAACTTCCATGCCTGGACTGCGGCTCCAATCATAGGCAATTGCCTCCATAGCAGTACCAAACTTGTCCGTATTCTTGAATTCCCCTTCCAGACCAGGAGACAACAAGGCACCCATCACCGAAAGAGGGTAATTCCCCACCGCCGGCAAGCACGGGTTGTCATGGAACGAATGATGCAGGTCAGTATAATATCCTTGATCTCTCCTTTGAAAAAGGAGTGTTCCAGTCCCTAGCTGGGCATTCATTTCATCCACTTGAACCATTTCAGCACATATCCTCTGTGCCAGGTGCGCCATTGCTGGCCAGACGGTACGATCGGTCAGACCGCGACGCATAACCCAATCAGTTGTTGGCGACTGGATCAGCGTTCCTGGATCATACACCATAACCATTGCACCGTCTCCCATTGACTGATCAGCATCGTCCTCCAGTGCCAGGTTCTCATCCTGTTCGCTTGCACCCTCGGATGACATGCTAATAACCAAATTTCGATCCATCTTATTGGACCCTTTTTGGCAATCTCTTTGCCCCATTGGCAACTTGCCAACTGCAACCTTCCAATAAATTCGAGTCAGAAGGCCTTTCACCAGCAATTGCTGAAGGTCACTCCTCACCGGACCACCATCCAACATCTTCGCATCATTACCACGGAGATCATTGCTCCCGCCTTCTCCTTCTTTTTGGTCGGTCTCCTCGCCAGAAATCTGTACTGCTCCTTCCGGCGCCGTCTCCTGTCCAGCCACTTCATGCCCAGGAAGAACTTGAGCGCTTTCAGAGACATTCACCTGTCCAGCAGCACCTTGCCCAGGTAAAACCTCATCCGTGGAGCCCACCGCCAGCGAACCAACCATAACTGAACCATCCCTTGTTCTTTTTTGAGACCGTTCAGCTCGACGAGAAGGTTGTGGTAGCGAAAAAACTTGTGAAGTCACTTCTTGGCGGGTCTCCCCCCGCGACGCTTTGTCGCGCCCTTCGCCAAGGTGAACCGATTTTTTCGGCCCATCATTGGAGCCTGAAGAACCACTTTGTGGAACATTGCCACGACTCGCAGTTCTCCACGAATCCCTTTCTTGCAAAAAGAGTTCCTTCAGGCGTTGTACCGCATTGGTCTCCTCCTCGCTTGAATCGCTTGAGGAAGCGGCATACGAGACCAAAGCCTCCGCCTGGTCATCATCATCCACCACATCTGCCCACGCTCTGCTGAATGGATACGACAAACCACCACGAGGTTTCACCGGCTCCAGTGGCTTCGGTTTTTCCACCACTTCCGCCAGTTGCACTCGTCGTTGTGACCGAGATCGTGGCACCTGTCGCACCTGTTTTTTGTCCAGCAAGGGCCTTCCCCTTCTTACAGGGTTTGATCTTGACCGATACTTTTTCGTTGGTGGATTCACCGGCGGCATTCCAACTCCCACCAACCGCAGCTTCTGTACGCACAACGGAGACCTCTGCGCAAGCGTCCAACCATCACGGTACCTGACCTTATCAAAAAGCTCCCGATAGGAACCTCTCGGCATAGTTTTTGCACCGGAGTCTTCAGCTTCACGCACCTGAGTGAGGGTTCGCACCGCCGCTCTTCCAGTCCCTTTGTTCCCAGAAGATTGTTGTACCCGTACAGATGCATCAGAAGGAACTGCCTTTTCCGGTCCTCCCGGTCGATATCGGACCTCACCCACCAATTGCAGAATTTTGCATGCGGTCACTTTGTTGATCCCTTTGTCAACCAAATCTTCCACAAAGATGAACTCTTGCAAGTCCGACACATTGGTCACACCAAGCGTAATCATCACCTCACTTACATGAGGGGTATACACCCACAGGTGTGCGTTGCGAGCCATCCAATTTTCAATCGGCTCCTCCGGATTGTGAAGCTGAGTACTAGTGGATGCAGCCACCGAATTCTTTTGCTCATCAGCTTCTACTTCATCCAGAATACCTTTTTCACCATCTTTTTGTGACACATTGGTCATTTGCTGTGCTTTTGGTGCCGAGGATGAGGAAGATTCAGCTCCCCCACTTGCAGGT